CAGAGTGCACCTCAGAAGACTGTGGGGAATGAGGGGGCAGTGGAGCATCTTGCCACAGTATTGCTTCCTGGGGATCGGTGTTTCCCAAGGGACATACCCGAACACTGCAGCACACCTTCAGGGAAGGACCTTATCAATATGTAGCCCAGGAGCCACGGCAGGGAGAGAACGTGGCGTGAATCTGCCATCTCTAAAGCACCCTGTCTTCCTTCTCCAGCTCCCACACTGCAAACAAGCCTCTCTGCTTTGTACACCTCCCTAGGTGCTCAGCCTTCAGCTCCCATCAAGCACAAATGCAAACACAGCTTCTCCGTGGGAACCCAGCTCCTGTCCCTAAACTGGGTTGTCATCAGCCTCCTTGAGGTTACCTTCTCATTCCCTGTCTTTGTTAGAGTTTCTATTGCTGTGATGAAACACCATTACCAAAACGTAAGTTGGGGAATAAAGGATTTATTTGGCCTATACTTCCACAGTGCCATTCATCGCTGAAGGAAGTCAGGACAGACACTCAAAGCAGGGCAGGATCCTGGAGGCAGGAGCTACAGAGGTCATGGAGGGGTGCTGCTTACTGACTTGCTCCCCATGGCTTCCTCAGCCTGCTTTCTCATAGAACCCATGACCAGCAACTCAGGGATGGTACCAGCCCCCATGGCCTGGGCCCTCCCACATTGATCCCTAATTGAGAAAGTGCCTTACAGTTGGATCTCATAGAGGCATTTCCTCAACTGAGGCTCCTTTGTCTCTGATGGCTCTAGCTTGTGTCAAGTTGACACACAAAACATGCCAGTACACTCCCTCAGTCTGGGGTCACCTTCATGGCCAGGGTTTTGGTCTCACTGTCATCCTGGCCCTGCTCTAGTTTGGCACCTACGCAGAGGGGTAATTCAAGATCAGAGGTGCCTAAAATTGGAGGGCATTTTAAAGACTTTGATCTGGAAAACCCTCCTGCACTCTTCAGAAAAGAACATCTGTGACCCAGTAAATGTGACAGAGAGGCAATGTGCACATGAACGTCTGCCCAGCCCACATCTGTCTTATTTCTACTCAAGTATCCACTGGGGGCACACATTGCCCCGGGGCCACAGGGTCAGAGGTGTTTGTGGTTGTGTGTGTGTGTGTTGTTGTATGGTGTGTATATTGTAGTGTAGTGTGTTTAGTGTGGTATGAGTGGTGTTGTGTATATAGTGGTATGCGTCTTGTGGTGTGTATGGTGTGTGTTGTGTTTGTGTGGGTTGTACGCTATGGAATGTATGGAATGGTGTGAATGTTGCAGTATGTGTGTGTTGTATTTTGATGTGTGGTGTGTGCGTGGTGTGGTATGGTGTGAGCATGTTGCAGTGTGTGTGTTGTGCTGTATGTGCTGTATTTTGATGTGTGGTATTTGGTATGGTAGCTGGAGATGAGGACTCCTCTTGGTCTTGATTCCGCTCTGAGTGCCCAGCATCCCCAAGTCTGTCTCTATTCTCTCCTCTGTGCTTTGGTTTCTGCCCTGTTGTGCCCTGGATACCTGCTTATGTTTTCACTACCCAGTTGCTATGATACAAACAGACTCAGAGAAAAAAAGAGCATTCTATGGTCTCTAGCTTACAGGCAAGTTGTTCACTCTGAGTACATATGATGCTTGCTTATGGATTATACATTTGAGAAAACAGGTCAAACACTACTAAAAACATTTTTGAATGATGGATCCTATACAAGCAAGAGGAGAGTGGTATACCATTAGGGTTCACAGACTGCTAAAGAGGCACATCCCTGAGGACACTCATCTGAACAGATTCGCCTACTTTCATGGTCTTTAATAAGACAGGAGAGAATATAGGGACCTAAGTCCATGTTGGTAAAATCTCCAAAGGACTCTGTGGAGCGGAAGATGAAGAAGATCTGGGAGAGGTTCCAATATATCGTCTTTTGTCTACAGATGGGTCAACAGCAGCAGAGAGCCCTAGGAACTCTTTATTCCACTGGCCTTAAGAAAAGAACACCTGCTGCCCAGCATGGTGGTGCACACCTTTAATACCCAAAACTTCTCCCTCTTCCATCTCATTGCAGATGGGACAAGTTGTTTCAAAATTCCTCCACAGTTACCCCTTGGCTACCTTCTCAAACCCTGGGTGGATTTAGATTCCTAGGCACTCAGGCAAGTAAACCCAATTTTATTTTGTCAAGGGGCATGGCTCCAGCATCCCCTGAGATGTTTCCCTTGCAGGACATGGTGGGGGAATTTGTACCCATCTATATTCATGGAGCCTTCTTGCTAGTGGATCCTGAAGATAAAAGAGGGTCACCAAGCGGTTGAGCACCCCAAGTCTAGCCAGGGACTTAAGTCAAATTCTGGAACTAGCCGACATCTGTCAGTGCTCACTGTCACCAATCCACGAGCTTATACAATTCAAATACTTTAGGTCTAAACTTGAGAGCCTAGAGAAGAGCTTGTCAGTCCCTGTTCTCAGTGAATGACCCAGTGGATGAAACTCACCTGGGCAGGTCTGTACTCTTTATAAGGAAGACACGTGTTGGATCCAAACAGTTGTCACTAGATTCAGCAGTGAGTCTCTCATCAGTGTAAACCACTAGGTTCAGTTTTATAGAGGAACAAATGCCTCTTGTGTTTATATTACCTGGCCAGTACTCTTTGAACTCATCAAAAACTGGCTGTGGAGATGGAGCCTGGGTTTCCCATCAGCTCCAAGCGTGTTTTACCTCAGTATTCCCCCAAACCACCTTTTCTGGGTCAGATGACCCTCCAACTCTGTGACAGGGATAAAAGAGAGCCACAAACAACCGAAGAGAGAGGACATTGTGACTTCTGTAATATATGATATAAAACTCTATCTGTATCTACTACTTATAGCCTTCAAAACCAGAAGAGAGAGGACATTGTGACTTCTGTAATATATGATATAAAACTCTATCTGTATCTACTACTTATAGCCTTCAAAACCAGAAGAGAGAGGACATTGTGACTTCTGTAATATATGATATAAAACTCTATCTGTGTCTACTACTTACAGCCTTCAAAACCAGAAGAGAGAGGACATTGTGACTTCTGTAATATATGATATAAAACTCTATCTGTGTCTACTACTTACAGCCTTCAAAACCAGAAGAGAGAGGACATTGTGACTTCTGTAATATATGATATAAAACTCTATCTGTGTCTACTACTTACAGCCTTCAAAACCAGAAGAGAGAGGACATTGTGACTTCTGTAATATATGATATAAAACTCTATCTGTATCTACTACTTACAGCCTTCAAAACCAGAAGCATGGTTATGGTAGGTCATTCTGTGTACTGTATGAAGACTGTCTAGTGTTTTCTATAAGGCTTACTGGGAACTTACCAAGCCCCATTGTGGTAGTTTGAATGTAATTGTCCCCATAAACTTGGAGGGAGTGGCACTATTAGGAGGAGAAGCTTTTTTGGAGTATGTGTGGCCTTGTTAGAGGAAGTGTGTCACTGTGGAGGCAGACTTTGAGGTCTCATATATGCTTAAGCCATGCCCAGTGTCTCAGACCACTTCCTGTTGCCTGTGGGTGAAGATGTAAGAACTCTCTGCTCCTTCTCCAGTACCATGTCTGCCTGTATGCTGCCATGCTTCCTGCCACAATAATGTACTAAACCTCTGAGTTTAAGTGAGCCACCCTCACTAAATACTTTCCTTTATAAGAGATATTGTTGTCCTTGTGTCTCTTTATACAAATACCAACCCTAACTAAGACACCCATAGTTTAACAGTATGTATACAAGTAATATTTATTACCTATGCAGTTTGGATTCTACTCTCTTTTATTAAGGAGATGTTATACAGCACTATCTTCTAAGCCAAATAACTGCCATGGCATCACCTGTGCCAACTTGCAAAAGATTGTCACAGACTGGCTTTGTTGAGTGCTGGTTTGTTAATGACCTTGCTTCCCGTAATGTGGCTGGGTGTCTTTCCAGAGTAGGAAAGAAATCTGGAAAGGAAGCAGGTTATGAAGGTCTGAGAACATTATACAGGTTTGCAAAAGGTCAAACTTCAGAACATTGATGTCGAACTTCTGATTGAATCAATCGAGTTATCGGGCTACTTTCTGTAACAATTACAACAACTAGCTTAAAACCAAAAACACACATCTAATTCAAGTTTAAATGTCTGGTTTTTGCCCAAGTTTTATCCAAATATTTCACGGTTCCAGACTGGTGTAACTGATGTAGGTGTTCAGCAACCATCCTTGGAGCCTATCTATGGTATGCTGTGGTTGGAGGCATTAAAAGGGAGAATATCCCCACTCCCGTCCAAGGTTGGCTAGGTCTCAGGCGACTTTGAGGCATATGTGTAGGGAGTTGGTCACTTGTTCTCTTGTTCAGGGAGGCCATGGAATCTTGGAATCTCTCTCTTAGACAGAAACCTCCCTAGGCACTGCCTCCCCTCAGCACGAACCACTTAGAGCGGCCATCGTCCCTCCCCCTACCATGACCGCATTTGGTGTGCATTTCTGAGAGGCAGGGCATGAAGCAGAGCCAGAGGGACATAAGCAAACTACTAAAACAAAAACAGGTCTGGGACGGCAGTTTCTTGTCCCCAGAAGTCACTGTGAGAGGAAACGACGGGAAGGCATTGGAGGTGGGTTTCTGAACAAGACCAATAGAGGAGAGCGGACCGCCCAAGACCCTATACAACCCAAGTCAGCGTCTGTTAGAGACTGCCAGCCTTAGGCCCCTTCCCCCCACCCCAAGGGGATACCTTCCCTCTCCACAGCGTGCTCTCCTGTCTTCCCTGATTAAATCAATCGAGTTATCCCTGGTGCGTGGCATGTGGTGTGGTGTGAAGTATGTGCACACAGGCACAAAGCAGGCCCTCATTCTAAGGTAAGTGTGGACCAGGTTTGTTTGGAGTGCTGTGGTGTGCGGCCGTGTGTGCGCGATACGGTGCGTGAGGCGGTGATGTGTGTGGTGGGAGGCACGTGCACGCATAAGGCAAATCTTCACACTCAGGCAGACGCAGACCCTGCTGATTTAAAAGCATCACAAATGATTTATTGGTACTTTTTAGAAAGGGAAAACAAAGAATTCACCACCTCTGCTATGCCCACATGACAGGTATGCACAGGACCCAGTGGAGAGTGGCGTGAGCCCCTGAGCTGGTAGCATCTGGGCTGCCTGTCGGTGCTTTTGCCCCTGGCTGTGCAATGTATGGCACCTCAGCTGATAAGCAGGGGAACCCTGTGCCTGCATAGCGGTCTGCAGTCATGGAGATGAAAACCGGGGAGGCTCTTGGGCCTACACGCTCCAAATGTTCTTAATAGAAACAGTAACATGAAATCCAAATAGCTAGGGAAAGCCTACCCAAGTGTCCTTGCAAGTGACACAGAGTACTCACAACAGGTAAAGACCTCCAGTTGGTACTCCAGGCACTGGTGAGCTAAAGTGGAGGGCTGCATCCGGGAATTCTGTGCTGGCCTTGGACCTGGGACTGTGTGGTGGGTGACACTGGGAAGCAGGGATGTGGGGACATGTATGGGGGAAAGGTCTCTGATTAGGTTTCTTTTGAGACAGCACGAAGGTATGTGGGGCAAAACTCTTAAAGTGTCACTGCCTTTACTGGTACTAGGTTCCCATTTGTAGCCCCTCACAAGGAGGACAGTGCAAGTCGCCTCTGGAGGAACCCCTAACCCCCAGAATATGAGAGATGCTGGGGTACAGTTGGGAGACTCCCACAGATCATCTGTGTGCCCCACAGTTGCCTTGTTCTATGCTGTCCTGTCTGTGACATGAACGTCTGGACACCCTGCCCATCCCCCAACAGACAGAGCTGGAGCTGTCCTATGTGAGGGTCTGCCTAGACCTCTCCTCTTACATAGGTCACATGTCTTCCCCAGGGAGAGCTGGTGAGTGCTGATGTGTGGGCCGAGCCCAGCCTGGGCTCTGGTGGGGCAGCAAGAACCTGGAGGTGGGAGGAGGGAAGAGGAGGGAAGGGAAGGGGGCACTGACTTCAGTTTCAAGGCAAAAGGTGAATTGTAGCAGCTCACAGCGTCGACCTGTGCTGGGCCCCTGACTCAGCAGTGGGAGCAGGCAGCAGGCACCCTGCGTGGGAGAAGCAGGGGCTGACCCTGGAGCTACCTCTGCTGCCTTCTTTCTATGACCCTGAAAAGGTCACCAGTCTACTTCATTTTGCTGGGAGACGCTGCCTTCCTACACCTCTTCTGGTTGGTTCTACATGGGTCTCTCAAACCGTAAGGCATCAAAGCCTGGTGTTTGCAGCTAATGTGCCTTTCTAGGGCCTGTGGACTCTTCTAGAGCCCAGACCTGGCCAAAAGCCAGAGTCATCAACCTAGGATCAGTGGAAGGGCGCCTCCTATTGCTTGAGCAGGAACTGCATGTAGGGGTCCCTTCCTTTCTTGTCCCCCACCCCATAGCCCTGAGGGAAAACCAGAGGATCTTTGCCCCTCTAAGCCCAACCCTGGGCATCCTGAAAAGGGGGTTCTGAGAGTGTGATTCTGACAGGATTCAGATGGCTTCTATTGCCTGGCCTTGAAAACAGAAAGTAAAGGAAAGAGCCCCCAAACTCAAATAGCTCTACTTAGGCAGGAATTTACACTGTAGTGGAGCCAGTGACTATCTGGAGGGTGGTTCTGAGGAGGTGTGGCCCATAGACTTCCTGGCTCTGGGGTCCTCTGCAGGGACAGAGAATGTGGGGCCAAAGCTGATAGATCTATGGATCTGGTGCTGGGGGTGGCTGCAGGTTCACCCCAGATTCAACTCCAGGCAGGAGAAGCCAGGCCTGAGCTGCGTTTGCAAGTTGGAGCAGCCAAGGCAGCATGTTCAGGTCTAAGGACTGTGATGCCTCAGAGTCAAAGGTTGGGACTTTGTGTGGTACCACAGACCTGTGTCCAGGTCATGAGTTGGCTGCCCCAGGATCCCATGGGCCAGCTGGGGCTGACAGGGAGAGATGTCTGTCCTCTGGGCGGGGACAGCTAGAGGAGATGGCCTTTCCACGGGTCTCAGGGGGCATCATTCCAGCTGCTCTTGTGGTCCTGCACCCTCTGTGGAGGAAGCAGGAAGAGAGTGTCCTGGCCAGCTGGTGCCATCAGCCCACCAGGTAGCTGTGCATCTCACGTGAGTTGATGCTCAGGACCACACCTGAGTGGTTGCCTAGGGGACAAAAGGAAGTAGCCCATTAGTGGGGATGGCAGGAAACAAACCAAACACGAACACAAGGGACCTCAGCAGCATGTAGGGCCAACATGCAGCGGGCACTGTGACATTCCCTGTGCCTGGTGCAGGGTGGGGGGGTGGGGTCTCCAGTGTCCTAGGTGGTGACAGGAGGGAAGTGCCACTACAAGCAGTGGTCCAGAGGACTGTGCAGTGAGGTACCCGCTGACCTGCGTGAGGGCTTACCCCTGGCATCGGCAGCAAGGGGGCACAGGAAGGGCTGAGGCTGTGCCCACTCTTGGCAAAAAGCACTGTGGTGTGAGGTATGGACCAGGAGGCAGGGAGGGAGAGGGGACCACAGGGGGAGAGAGGGAACACAGTAAGGGTCAAAGACGGGTTGACGGATGTCCCCATGTGGGCTGCATTATGAGACCAGGGGATGCTCTCCATAGAAGCTATCTCCTTCTCTCGTCGTCTGTGCAAAACAGAAGGCACCGGTAGGAGGGGCCGGTGCTACCCAGGCTGTGGGGGCCGCATCTGGGACTACTTGAATATCCATGTGACTCTCCATTAGGGCCTCCCACCTCATGGCCCTAGTTAATCTGTGACATCAGTTGCCAGGGTACCAGGGAGAAGAACTGTCATAGGCAGTGCCTAGTCCATGCCAAGGTCCCCGTTAACAGTGTCCTGGTACTATTACTAGGAATTCACATGCAGCATGTAGCTGTGGGATAAAGGACTACCATCTTCCCGAGACCCCATATCTTCCTAGCCTAGGCTATGATTTCCTTGCATGACAGTAGAGCACGGCTATCTGGGCAGTGTTTAGGACTGCAAAGCATAAGGCTAAACAAGACTATCTCCCTCCAGCTCCCTCTTGTCATGTGATCGATCCAAAGGCTGAGTTCTAGCTACCCATCTGCAAACACTGCAACACCAGCTGCTCCTAGGGTCAGATGATGGGACACTTAGTAAGTCACTGATGGGTTACAGTCCCAGAGGCTGTGAATCTGTCTTCTGATCAATACTCCTGGACTGGTCGATGTGGGAAGTGGCTGGAAGGGGCGGGGCAGGGTGGGGTGGGGTGTGGGTGGGGGCGAGGGTGGAGGAAGCTGCCCTAGCACTGAGAAGGCCTGGAGGATGCAGCATGGGGCCAGACTGACCTTGCTGGGATCCAAGGTCAGCCATCAACAGCTAGACATGCCACCCAGGGTGACTAAAGACCTTGCAGGGTCACTAATTCTCAAGGTAAGGGCCATCATGACCCTGAGAACCAACAGACTGGGATACGTGTGGCCTTTAAGGTGAATGCCTGTGACAGGTAACTTTGACAAAGCCTTGCTGTGTGACACACTCTGCCTAGACACCCCAGCAGAATGCTCAGTGCCACTGAGGATGAATAGGGCGTGGGTAGGGCCTGTGTGGGACAGAGGTTCAGGGCAGCAGGGCTCTGGTTAGGCCTGGACACGGTTCCATCTAAGGAGCTACATAATGGAGAAAATGACATAAGGGCATTGCTGGAGATGGAGAGTGGTGCCAGAGCCAAGGTGATAGGCCTGACCCTCTCCTTGTGGGCATGACAGGAAGGAATTCACCTTGGTGAAAATCCTGTGTAAACAGTGAAGCCCTGTCCTGAGGGTCCACACATACATGCTTTTGAACTCTGCATTTTAAGTAAACAGCTAATGGGAGTCTGAGGGAGGAGGGCAGCTTCAGGCTCCTGTGAGGGAGCTCCCTGCCTCTATGAGGGTTGTTCAAGCTGACCACCCACTACCAGGAGAGTGCCCTCAGACAGCCTCTGGCTTCACCCTGTATGGCTCCTGGGCTCTATCTTTTCTGTGTCAGGACTCAGGGCCCAAAGACACTCTCTAACAGAGCTGGCCTGGCCCGTGTCCCCTGGGCTCTGATGGGCCCCTCTGTGGTAGGGGCAGGCAGGGTCACCCAGCTCCTACCCTGCATGGCGCTCTGGGCATCTTCACTGTGGCTCACGGGGCTTGTCATCTCCTGCTCCTTCTCGTTGTGCATCTGGGCGTACACCGTCCTGCCTGGGCGTTTCCTGCTGGTCAGAGGTAGAGCTCAGCTTTGAATGAGCACTTGGCCCCAAGGCCCTTGTGGGGGCATGGTGTAGACAGTGCTGCCCAAGACTGTCCCTGGGGAGCCCCTCCAGTAAGCTCCCTTCACCCAGTTCTGCTGTCCACGGCTAGCGCATACAGTCACCTACCTTTTCTTTATCCAAGCATAGTGTAACTGCTGAAGCTCTGTCCTCTTTGTCTCCTATGTCCTCATAGCCAGGACAGTAACACACACACACACACACACACACACACACACACACACACACACACACGCACGCACGCACGCACGCACGCACGCACGCACACACACACACAGTCTCACACACATACACAGTGCTGACCCAGTTCTGAGGGGGCGCTTGTTGACCTCTGTCCATCCAGACTTCCTGTGACTCTGCTGTCCACTTCCTTTCTAGCCCAGGCCCCAGAGGAAGGAGAGAGGGTGACAGAGCACACTCTGCCTCACTAGGACTTGGGCCCAGAGACACAGGCAAGGCCCGCTGTGTTGAGAATAGCCTCACTAACTCCAACCTAACCCATTCAGAGACAAGGAGTCTGAGGCCTAGGGAGTGGGGTGGTGAGAGCCCGTGGAGGCGTGTGGAGGTAGGAGCTCTCGGTCCCTTGAGTAGGAAAGGGTAACTGTGTCCAGAGGATGCATGGGTCACATCCCTTTAGGGAAGGGATGTCTAGATGACGGACTTAGATGCTGGAGGTAGCCCTTCCTTCGTTATAGACGCCTGGGTAAGCAGCAGCAGTCCTGCTGGCCCGGCAAGGGGCTCGGTATCAGGCAGAAACAGACTTTTGGTGGCTGTGAGACTCGGGAACATTGAATGGCTTGTTACCTAGCTCCCCAGTGCTGAGGACACTGTCAGTCAGAACACAGCCAGCCCCCAGCTGCCACAGCCTGGGCAGGACTTAAAGCCCACATGGACAAAAGGACAAATGAACTGGATGGGGGTCACTCTGCAGTTTCTCTCCTGACTGCTCAGAATTCTCTGCCTTCCTCTCCCTTTCCCTGCCGGAGCAGCCTGGAGCTTCTGGGAAGGTGCATTTGGCCCCTTACTGAGATCTCTGTTTCTATGGCAACATATCCCTCCCTTCCAAACTCAAAGCTTGAGCTGGTCCAGAAAGACGGCCTTGCCCTGAGGATGTTGGACCAGTCTCCTCTGGACACATCTGGCCCCTCCCGCTCTTGGCATGTGGCAAGGAGTGCCCTGTCTTTGGGCCACCTGCACCACATGCAGCACTCTCGGAGCAATTTGTAGAAGCACCACTGGACACTTGTGAAGTCTGGAGGGTGGGGCTGACAATCACCCACAGGGACCAGAGTTCTGTTCCAGCTACGAGCCTCATCTACCGCAGGCAAGCATGTTACCCTGTAACTGACCACCCACAACCCTGCATGTCCCACACGGGATGGGGCCAAGCCTAGAGGAGCACGGAGACTCACACTGACATCCACACAGACATCCAGAAGCAGCCCTCTGCTTGGCCATGGGCATCACGGCCAGGTCCAGGGCTTTGTCCTGCCACCTGCCCCTTCACCCAGGGCTCATATGCCACCATCCTGGAGCCGGGCAAGAAGGAAGACTGTCCAGCTGGCTTCTTATTCTCCCTCCCCCATCTCCTCCTTTGCACCCCCTTTTATAGACAATGACATTACAGACCTGGGGGGGGCTTTATCTGATTGAGGCAGGCCTGTGGCAGGACAGCATCTGGCCAGATCTTCATGTACACTCAACACTAGGCTACCTGAAGGACTGCCTGCCACTTAGGTCCTTGCCCTGTAATATGAAGGGTGCTGGGATGCAGGGGTGCTAGGGTCTTGTCACATTGGCCTATAGCAGAGTGTTCCAAGGGTGTCCCTGCTTGAGGGTAGCAAATAGCAGGCATGGGGCCCTGAGCCTAGGTGGGTTTCACACGGGGTTTTGCTTATCAACAAGCTCCTTATAGTTGTGTTGGTAGAGTGGGCTTGTACCGCCCCATGGTCACCACCCCAGAGCTGCCTCCAACTGGAGTCTATGAAAAGGATGTTGAGATCTGCCAGCAATCAGCCCCACTCAGCATGCTGACATAGAAGATGAGGGCCATAAGCTGCCTCCCAGCATCCTTGGCGCTAGCCCATGTGCACTGGGAGGATGGGCCAAAGAGGGAAGAGGGCTTTAAAGGCCTGTATAGGAGACACATGGTCTCCCAACCTCCAACCCCACCCACGATTTTCTGGTACCTCAGGTGACTGGTAGCCCCTGTGGCAGCCATAGGCAAGGTGTGGGATGCTAAGAGGCAGAACCACAACAGGCCGATCCTGCCCCAGCAGCCTTGGACTTGGTACTGTGCCTCCTTGCATCCTCATTTTTAGGGCAAGCAGTGCACCCTCCAGGGAGGATGAATGAAGGAAAGGCTGCCCTGAACCTGTGAAGAGCACAAGCTGAGAAGAAGGGAGACGGAATCTCCTGGTCACCAGCACAGGGACAGACTCACGCCACCTTCCACGATGGCCTGTGGAAGCCACCACCTCTGGGGCCATGGGTTGCTTGCCACATGCCAAGGTTGCTAGGAGGCCTTACCTTTTGAACTTGTAGAGGATGAACGCTCCCACTGCAAAGAGCCCAATGACAAAGAGGACCACCACAGCCCAGTAGCCACCACTGCCACTTGGCCTCTGAGGACCTACAAGAAGATCAGCAAGAGGAGAAGCTGTGGAACTGCGTCCCCAGCCCCGGCCTAGACGAGCCTACTTCATGTTGCCCAGCAGGCCCTGTCCGTGTGTCCGTGTGGCTGAGTGGACATGATATGTGGCTTTGGTGGACTGGCCTCTCTTCCTGGCAGAGTCCTACTATAGTAGGGCCTACTTTGTCTGGGTTTCCTGCAGAGGGGAGCAGCACCCTTCTTCTGCACTGCTTTTAAGTGGATTGGTTGCTGTGGCCGATTCCATACAAACCATGCCAAGATGGTAAGGCCCAGGGCTGACTGTGTAGGAGTTGGTGCACCTAGCCAGGGATGCCCTAGCCAGAAGGGTTGCTGGCAGCTAGACAAAGACTCCGACGAGTCCTACAGTCACTCTCAGCATTCACTGGCTTGGGCTCACACCCACCCTGCCCCAGAGAAGACCCAAGACAGGTCTGTCACCTGTATCTGTATCCCTCAGGTCCACCAGGATACGGAGCCCTCCTCGAAGGATGAAGCTGATCCTATGAGAGTTCAGCACCTGCTGCACAGCTGCCAGTCTCTGTAATCAAGGAAGGATGGGAGTGTCCTGGGGACCGGAGTACTGGAGTCCCCCGGAGCTGGGAAGGGATGCTGCCTGATGCCTCTGTGTTCTCATCAGGGCATGGCGTGAGAGGCCACCACCTGGGTTCACTAGGAGCCACTGGTGGTGCAGGTATCCCCGCCATCAATAAACTCTCATTTCAGCACAGAACAGACAGAGGATACAGGTTTCAGCGTGTGTGAGTGGAAGTCTTGGAGTGTTCCAGAAGTCTCCACAAGCCAGTGAGGCTTCCAGGAAGTGGAAGACCACAAAGATGAGACAGGACACCCTCCCCCCTAAGAGGGGAGTCAGAAGGAGCTGCTGGGTTAGGGAGTTCTGGAGGGGACACAGCCCTGCTCAAGATCCCTGTAACATGGCTATCAGGTGATGCTCACAGCACACGTCAGAGCTCGCCCAGACCTCACCTGTCAGTCACTGTCCAGGACCTGGCATGGAAACCCAGCTGTGCTCACTGACATTCATTTCCCAGTGGCTATGTCTCTAAGATTATGACCTTAGCTAAATCCATTGGGCAGAGCCAGAAGCTGTAACAGCTACAGAATCCCAGTCTTTGGAGGAGAGATGGTTTTGTTTCCATCTGTACCCTGGACCCTCAGTATAGGCTCACACTAAATATACTCTTGCACACCGACACCAGGAGGTGATCAGCCCATGATCTCCTGAGTGTCTGGCTGGCTACCACTGTCCCTGTGAACTCGTCTTTGCCTTCAGGATGGAATCAGTTGGTTCAAAAGCTACTCGGCACTCAGCATACGGGGGCCTCTCTGATAACAATCCCCAAGGTGTCCCTGTCAAGGCTTTTCATTGAGGATATTCTAGGATCGCTGAGCTGACTTCCAGTTTGCCCTGGAACTTGAGGCCCAGGGTCTCTCACAGTGCTCATCTGTGTGTCCCAGGTCCCCTAGCAGTGAAGCTGGGATCACATGACAGCCCCAGACAATGATGCCAGAGTGGAAACCGTCCCCACACGCTGGCCTGGCCTCCTCCCCCTGGAAGCTGCCTATCTCAGTAACCTTGGATGCTGGCAGATGGTGATACCCCAGGTCAGACAGCATTACAGAAAGAAGTAAACCTTTAAGCCATGCGGGGAGGACCTGGGCTCAGGTGGCCATGGACATACCTTGTCACTTGTGAGGCTTCTCTTCCTTGTGGGCCTGGGAGGGGGAAGGAGCACGTACAGGTCCGCTATGGTGGGCAGTCCTGGCTTTACTACTGTCACCAGCAGCTCCTCGGGGATGCTGGTCTCCTGTGGGGGAGGCAGGACACTTGGATCCTCTTCCGTCCCTCATCCGTTGCCACAAGCTAAGTTTCCCGCAGCATCTGCCCTCCGTTCCTGGCCTAGGTATGTCCTGGCCGCCTGTCCTGTTCCACACTCCTGCCTCTCAGCCCCATGGGTTCCTATAATCCTGTCCCTCCTGTTGAACGTCTGACCCAGGGCACCAACCCACTACTTCCCAAGAAGCCCCAGCCTTGTCCCATCCTCATTTCTCAGCTCACAACCACGCCACGGCTCACGACAGAACTGAAGCCCAAGTCACAGGCTACCTTGGAGAGAAGCCGGGTGACTACCAGCCCCACATCCTCCCTCCACTCGGGAGTGTTGGGGTTAAAGGTGTCCAGGTCCCTGGAGAACTGCAGAGGCACCACCTGGAACTGAGCTGGAAGAGACAGAGTGAAGCCTGTGAGGTCTGTGGTGTGGCTGGGACCCTGTACAAGGTAGCAATGCCAGATGGTCCAGATAGCCTCACCTCCATCCCTACGGCCCTGGCTCCGTGTTTGGAAGATCAGAGCCCTACTTTTCCTCAACCTTCAGTGCCTGGCATGTACTGATGATGGCAGTGTTGTCATCTGGGGACGGGGGCATGGCACTGCATGTACCTGCTTCGTGAGATCTACTCCTCAAGTCACAAGAATACACACCTATGATGTCATCTACTTCCTCAAGGACCCATGGACTTCAACTCACTAGCCACCCCACCAGATCAACAGTTCCATGCGATGAGAGGACCCATCTTTTACCCACATTTCATTTCTCAGGGCCCACATCTCTGTTCTAGAGTCACAGGAGCCCTAGGACCATACTGTCGTCTCCACTGACTTCCTCCTATGCTGGGCAGAGGGCTCAGGGGACAGTGTTTTGTGAACTGTGACCCAACATCCTATGGTGTGGGCAGACCCAGATCTACAGTGAAGGGGGGACCAGACCAGGGCAGCCTCATCCCTCAGCCTGCAGGCCCCTAATGTGACTGATGGCTGTGGTCCATAGCAGAGGATGTTCCTAAGCTGGATGAGCTTCATTCAGGTGTGCTGAAGGGGTAATGTCCTGCTCCAGACACAGCATGTTACTGAGGGGTTGACAGTCCCAGGAAGCATAGACAAGTCCTCTTAAGGACCATCCTCAGAGTGGCAAGTGGAGAGGCCCTTGGAGATGGCAATATGGAGCTCATCTGTTCTTGTTAAATCGCTGAGCAACAGACGCAGTGGTCTCACAAGACACACAGTTCATTTTACATAGGGGAGAAACTGAGGTCAGAGAGTCTGGGGCACTTCAATAAGGCCACATAGAACCCAAATTCCCTTGGACTCTGCAGCTGTGCCCCCATGCTTGTCTGTGTAGGGAATGGGCAGATAACTCACCCAGTACACGGATGACCCTGGAGTCCTGCAGCACTGAGTTCCCACAGGCAGCCTGTACTGTCACACGCACATCCCCAGCATCTGTAAACCGCGTTGTCACTGAGTTGTCCAGGGAAAGCAGAGGCTGTGGGCACAAGCTGGGTCAGGTCTGTCTGGCAGGATGGGGAGCCATGATCTATAGTCAGGGCCACACTGGGACTGTGCTGGTACTGGCTTTCATCAACAAGTGGGCTGCTGGAGTTTCCTGCACTGGCTGCGTCTGGGAGGGGTGGGGAACACCAGCACACCCTAGCTCTAAGCTGAACTGGGAACATGTCCTGCCTCCATAGCATGGTACATCCTTCTAGAGGCTGCCTGTGGCCTCCTATAGAACATTTTGGTTGGTCTCTAGGAAGCACAGGTCAGGCTCTGTGTCCCATTCCAGTTCAATTCACTGTCCCACCCACAGCCATGCCTCAGCCTTATAGAAGGCAGATACTCCCATCATGGGTGAATGGTGGCATCACCGAGTTACAGGACAGGCTATGCCTTATATAAGCAAAGGCTCTGGGAGTTGAGTATGGAGCTTGGGGGAATTCAGGTGGCAAGGCTCCCACCCCAAGAGACATGACCTTGTACTTGGAGCTCCTCCTTTCTCTTAGCATCAGGGCTTCTGTGGAGGTGCAGGGCTACTGCATCCAGAGTGAGGAAAGGGTGCCCATCCATGGGTCTTAAAGATGGACATTCTTGCTCCCTCATCATATGCTCTGCTGCCTCGTTGTGTCTTCTGCTCAAGAACTGCCCATGGCTCCCCATGGATCACAGCACTCTGAGTGAGGCCATGTTCTATCCCTCCCAATGAAGCCCTTCCTGACCACTCCACTAAAGAAAGCCTCCCCTGAGCTCACCTGTGACACATATCAGACCTACTCTGTGACACATAGTCAACTACTCTGCTCCATGTCTTTCACAGGACCATCCAGGGGCTTTTCAGAGGGACCCCTAGCAGATGCTCAGGGTGGGTACTGAGTGAGGGAAAGGTCAGGACAAGTCCATTCCAATGGTCTCACATTGTGCCCTGATGTCAGGTACCAAGAGCAGCACCTTGCTCCACTTGATACACCAGATGGCAATCTATGAGAGGGGGAACTGAGAAGGGTAATGGGGCGCACCTGCAGGCTGTGGCCTATCCACCAGTAGAAGACAGTGAGGTTGGGGTTCAGGGGCAGCAGCACAGCTGTGAGGTTCACCTCCTGGTTGATGCCAATGACAGGGACTACCTCGAGATAGAGGGCCTGCAGAGGGGCTGAAGAGAACCCAAAAGTTCAGGGTTAGGGACAGTGAGGCACAGAACCTTTAAGTGGCTACTTACTAGTCATTGTTCCCACCAGTTTCATTGGTACCATCACCACCATCACTACCATCAGCACCATGACCACCCCCATCATCATCATCATCATCATCACTCATCATCAGCACCACATGACCACCCCCATCATCATCATCATCATCATAATCATCATCATCACTACATCAACACAATGACCATCCCCATCATCATCATCATCATCACTACATCAACACCATGACCACCCCCATCATCATCATCATCATCATCATCACTACATCAGCACCATGACCACCCCCATCATCATCATCATCATCATCACCACTACATCAGCACCATGACCACCCCATCATCATCATCATCATCACTACATCAGCATCATGACCACCCCCATCATCATCATCATCATCACTACATCAGCACCATGACCACTCCCATCATCATCATCATCATCATCACCACTACATCAGCCCCATGACCACCCCCATCATCATCATCATCATCATCATCATCACTACATCAGCACCATGACCACCCCTATCATCATCATCATCATCATCATCATCATCACTACATCAGCACCATGACCACCCCCATCATCATCATCATCACTTCCATCAACACTATGATCATCACCACCACCAGCATCATCATTACTACCATCAGCACCATGATCATCATCACCACCACAACTGTCACCATCTACCACCACCACTTCCAGAGTCATCACCACCACCATCATTATCAACACCACTCAGTACAACCCATCACCATCATCACCATCAACATCCCACATCCATCATTATCATCACCAATCACTATCATCATTCACTACAACCTATCACAATCATCACTACTCACCATCCTCATCATCACTACCATCCCCATCATCACCACTAATGTTAAGGTTTGAATCTAAGCTGTCCACTGGTTCACATCACCAGTGTTTGTTCCCCAGCTGGTGGTGCTGTTTGCTTGTTCTCTGCTCCCTGTTCCACCATGGTATGAGCAGCCTCTGGCTGCCACATACTCCTGCATCACTCCACTGTGCTTCTAAACCACGATGGATTGAATCCTCTGAAACTCTGAGATAAAGTAAACCCTTCCTCCCTCAAGTACTTCCTGTCAGGTATTGTGATGGCAGAGAAGCAAAAGAACGGGTTGCAGGTACATGGGGTTGTTGCTGTCACTAAATCTGACCATGCAGGTTTAAGCTATTTAGCGTGTGTGGGGGTGAGTTACTATTGTTTTGGGAAAAGAATTTGGAAAAGTGGTACTGGATTTTCAGGCACACTGAGGCAAGTGTTACAGGGTCATAGATGCTTGTATGCAGATTTTAAAGGGAAGTTTGTTAAGCCAGGCAATGTGTGCATGGCAGGGTTGAATACCCTGTGTAATACAAATTAATAAAAGATCCAGAGACTGTTATTAAGGTTCAGCCTGAAGATCAGAGACGCAAAGCAGCTGGCCACTGGCTCTTACCACTACTTCAGGCTGAAAGGGCTGATCCATGCATGAGCTCTTCACCAAGCCACCTTAGACTGCTGCCTCTCCTTAACATAGCAGGAGAATGAATGTCTCATACTTAATACTGAAGACCTTGCTTCTATCTTTTATGCCCCTCTAGTGCTGGGGTTAAAGGCACATGATATGATATGTTACTCTTTTAGACTGATTCAATCATGTGTATCCCTGGGTGGTCTTGAACTCAGAGAGATCTATCTACCTCTTAATCCTGAGTCTTAGGACTAAAGGTGTGTACAACCACCTCCTAGCTTCTGGCTGCTGGGATTAAAGACGTGTGTCTGGCTTCTATGGCTTGTGGCTGACTTTGTTTTCTGAATCCTCAGGCAAGCTTCAATAAATCATAAATAATATAACACCACACCCCTGCAGAGAGACTTTGACAGGGCAATTCATGACATTCTGAGTGTGAGGCCTGAGATTCACTGGAGACCCAGCATGGGATGCAGGAAAATGGGGTGTCTGTAGAGAAAGCCTGCTGGCAATGAATGGAGCCTGTGTGTGAGAGACAGAATGCTGAAATGGAGAGAACACAGACCCGGCTGCCCAAGCCCACGATGCCACCACATGGTCCAGGTGCTGCACAGAGCTATGGGACTCCGTGCTTCCTTGCTGTATGTACTTCAGTCTGGTTCCAATCAAATCTTTTCTTGCTGTTGTCTTTTGTTCTGTTTTTCAGGGGGAAAGCTTATTATAGACAGGAAGTGCAGAATTGCCTTTTACAAGGATTGCTAAGAGACTTCTTTTGGCACGAGTGGAGTCTCCGGGATTAGACTTTTGAACATTGGGACCGTTGAGATCATGGTGACTCATGAAGTTGAACTGAATGCATTTTGTATTAGAAATGTATGCTGTGAGCTGCTGGGGGCCAGAGGCAGACAATTAAGGTTTAAATCTGAAATGTCCCCTAGGTTCATGTCTTAGTTTGCATTTCCCATCTAGAGACACTTTATGAGGAGGCTGGGGAACCATTAGGGGTGGGTCTACTTGGTGGAAGAGACCACCATTGGCAGACCTGGAGGTGACAGCCCAGCAGCTCACTCCAGCCTTATTCTCTGATTCCTGAACCACCGTGATGTGAGGAGCCCCTGGGTCCTACATTCTGTTCTTGCTACGAATGACAGCATGCCTTCCTTGAGGTCATAGGCAGAAATCCCATGAAACCAAGAGCCAAATTAAATCTTTCTAAGGTGTTTCTGGCAGGTATTACAGCCACAGCCATGCAAAAATAATCAATGCAATCACCACCATTGTCACCACCACACTCATTGACCACTATAACCACCATCATCATCATCACCACCACCATTATTAACACCACAATTATTGCCAACATCACCATCATTGCCACATTGCTGTAATCACCATCAACACAGCTATACCACCACCACTGATAACATCACTATTATCACCAATATTACCATCCCTATCGCTATCATTACTACTAAAACTATCACCATCAGTCATTGCCATCACCATCATCGCCATCACCATTATTGCTGATATCACCATCATTGTCATCACCACTATCATTATCACCATCACTGCCATCACCGTCACTACCTGCAGCATCACATCCATCATCACAATCATCACGAGTATTGCCATCACCACCAGCTTCACAACCATTACTAGCATCACTCCTATCACCATGGCCACCACCATTACCATCCCTCACCATTACTTTTGTGAATAATATTAGTACCAGGTCTGAGCCCAGCCAACCTGCCTTTCTGTCCACGGCCTCACTGTAGCGACCCCACAGAACTCCCTGTGCTTCCCCACAGCCCCGGCTCTCCATTCCGTGTGAGAGACACAGCCTCAAAGGAGCTGTGGACTTACAGTTGACCTGGACAAAGAGCACAGCCTCGTCATGGCCTGCCATGTTCTCAGCCCTGACAGACACGCGGTAGATGCCAGGACTCTCGTAGTGGTGCCGGATGGGCTCGCCCGTCAGAGTGAGGTTCACGTACATGGCCTTGAAGCCATCCCCAAGGTCCACCTGGTACTTAGTGGTCAGGACATCACCCTGTAGGGAAATACCACAGGGTGACTTAGGAGTGACTCTCAAGGCGGGGTCCAACACTAAGTGCTCACTTCTCTCCTTCTCTCTTCGGATGAAGGCTCTATGGGGCCACAGACAGTAGCTTGGCTCTGATTTCAGGGCTTTTAGGATTTAGGCTTCCTGATTTTAGGAAAACGGGTTAAAGGCTGTGTGGAGTTCAGGAGTAAGCCTGAGCCTGAGCCAGGCCATGGGGCTGGGAGGGAAACTGCGAGTCTCTCATGAAAATGGAGAAGGCTTTGGTAACTACCATGAGGTCTTTTCAGGGAACTGCAGCAAACAGCACACTACTGTCTTTCTATGACAAGGTTGCTCCCTGTTCCTCATCTCTTCCTACACTGTGCCAGGAAAGGGGCTCAGCCTTGTGGAGCAGGCAGGGAGGGGTTCCTGGGACTTTGTCCCCAAGTGGCGTTGAACTCCCTATAAAAGCTGCTGGCTGACCCTGACTCTCAAGTTCATGACAAGGTGGAGTTCCTGTGTTCACATTAAAGTTTCCCTCCCCAGTCTGCTGCCTCCTTCCCTCCTTCCCTGTCCTCTCCCCTTCCCCTGGTCACCCTACACTAGCAGTCTTCCTGTCTCGTACCCCCCAGATCTCAAAAGCCAAGGGCATTTGGTATGTAAATGATGTTCATTTAACTTTCTCTGTGAATACATTACACTGGATTGGATAGAGTCGCCCCAAACCCCCGTCTATTGGGAGCCTCTGAAGTGGACACTTGAAATAAGTCTGCAGAGGCAAGGCATTAAGAGGTCACAATGGGGTACGGAGTGCAAGAAACCCGTGGGCAGGATCCTTGAAGAGAAAACAGTGGTGACTCAGGCTCCAAGAGAGGGCTGTTTGGACAGAGGCAGTTCCTGGAAAGTGCAGTCATGAGTTAAGGGGCTCCCAGAATGCTCCCAGAAGATGGTCACGTTTTTGTTGGGGGCATTCCCAGAACCCAGCACATACGGTGCTCCATGTGCCCGTTTTACAGGTCACAAGACTGAGGCTTTCGGGGATCCAGGCTCTTGAGGTGGGTTCTCCACCCATTGTTCTCCTGGCAGGGCTGGGTGAGGGTTGAGGGAAATGTCCACACCAAATTCATTCCTATAAGGGGGCTGGCTCTGGGTAGCATTCAGGAAGCGGGTGTCTGCCCACGGTTTTGAGGCTCCCACCCTTCACGGTGCGTGTCTTCATGTATGTCATCCCCTGTGCTTGCCATCCGTGCAGCCTGCTGTGCCCACTGTCTCCTCATGGTTTTTGCCCATTCTCGAACTGGCTGGTTCACCTGTTGCCGGGAGTTCTTCGTACAGTCCTGCTCTGCTGCCCCTGGGCTGCGCCAACCAACACCCTCCTGTCCGTAGCTACCTTTATCTTCTTGACAGTTTTGCCGGTTCCAAATATAGATGGCACTGACACATCAAGGTTTTGTTGTGTGGCCTGGAGCCCCATCCGTGCTGCAGACTCTCAGCCTGTGTCTGGGCTGGGTCCTAAAAGCTTACACTTTCCCTCGTCTTCTGCAGGTGTGTGCTCTATTTTGGGTTCATGTCTGAGGTCTGTTCTGCACCTGTCAAAAGCAGGCAGGTGTCTATGGGTCTGTTCCTGGCCTCCATCCCCCAATGCTGTGAATTCTTAGAAAACTCAGGCTCCCCATACTCAGCCCTGCTTTCTAGCCTGGTGATGTGTAAGTGTGGGTGTGTATGTGGTAGAGGAGAGCACAGTGTGCCTGTAAGTGTTTATGAGTGTGTTAGAGAGTTTATGTCGCAGTGTAAATGAGCATATGCTCACCCTCAGTCCCATGCTCCTACCCTTTTCCCTCCCAGGCCTGGGTTGCTCCAAGATCCCCTATTTCAAGGCATCTTTGTAGTCCAGCAAGTGTTCCAAAGAAGCTCTGTCCTCTAGTCCTTCTCGCCCATCAGGGGCACCTACCTGCAGATGTGCTGTAGTTTCCAGTTTTAAGCTCTAGGGGGCAGCAGATAGCCAAGTTTCTGGGATGTCTGGCCAGGAATTTGAGAGCCTCCCCTGGTTCTGTCTGAGGGTCCAGGAAGCCCCAGGCTGACCAGGGTCTCTGTCTTCCTGTCACCCCAATACACAGCTACCAACAGAGATACCCAGCCTGTCTCAGGGCTGCCTGATGGCTCAAGTGAACCTTAGGGCTGTCATAGTCAGCGAGAAGACCTAAGCAGGAGGTGATGTGTGTGTGTGTGTGTGTGTGTGTGTGTGTGTGTGTGTGTGTGTGTGTGTGCATGCCAGGGTTATATAGCTTGGGCCTGGGGACCACAGACTTGGCCACTGTCTGCTTAGAGTCCAGAGGCCCCTAGAGGACACAGAGTCATCTCTGCCTCTTTACCATGCAGCTCTGAGAGAATGGCGTCACTGTTCATGCCTCAGCTTCCTCGTCCACAATACTCTAAGTTGACAGAGTGCACAGGGTAAGAAAGATCTCATTTCCAACAGGAAGCGACTGCCATCAGTGCCTAATGCACAGGTGCTCAGTGTGGCCAGTCTGAGTCTTCCATTGCCTCAGTTTCTCTGTTTTTGGGAGACTAGGTCTCTGCTTCTAAAGACAGACACCATTTAAAGGATGTTTGAGCATAGCATGCCTGATCATGGATTCATCCATAGCAGCCTTCACATGTTAGCTGAAGATCTGGATTCCTGCTGATCTGTGAGTAAAACCTGCCCACAATCCTGGGGGAGAAACAGGGTACTCCCTCTGCCTCTGTGGGTGAAGCCTGCCCAGAACCCTAGGGAGAAAGGGGGCCCTCCCCTACCTCTGTGAGTGAAGACTGCTCAGAACCCCAGGGAGAAATGGGGCCCTCCCCTGCCTCTAAGTTTTGTGAATGTTCATGTTTTTCTAATAGTCATTTTAAAATTCCTTGCAGGGATCATTAGCTGCTTCTATAAGCAGAGACACGGGGATGTGTCTTGTGAACCAGATGGAAACAGAAAAGTTAACAGTTCCCTTGAGGAACAGAATTTTGAGTGATATTTATGTCTGTGTTTTTTTAAAATTATAAATGTATTTCCTAAATATATACTACAATGAGCATATATTATTTTTAAAATTAGAAGAAAATGTAACACTTGTTCTGAAGTAAAAATAGAATGAGTGGGAGACTGGGCGGAGAAAAAATGTATATATTTGTGTGTGCATATATATAAACTTGTATTTATATCTATCTCCATATACACACAGAAGGCGTTATCTCTGGATGTGTGATTATAAGTCATTAAAAAACTGTATGCTTTTGTTGGGATTCCAGATCAGCTAAATCAATATAATTAGAGACTTAAAATAGCTTTAGCACTGGGCTGGGGGTGCGGCTCAGTAGAAGAATGCTTCTCTAATCTGTGCAAGGCCCTGGGTTCCAATCTCAGCATTAGAAGAAACAAATCAACAAAAGAAGTTTAGTGCCACCTATGGGGAGGAATCGATTTTGTACCAATGTTTGATAACCACAAGATCACACACACATGCACACACACACTCATCCATGTACTTGCAAGTACATACATATGTGATATGGAGTCCATTTCCTGCTGAACATGTGATACACACTTGCTCTTGTATCTGTCTCATCTCAAATGCTGGTCTGAACCAAGAAGCCAACTTTGGTCCTTGGCTCCCACCCTCAGGGGCAGGCTGGCCTGTGTGGCTATGCTCCAAACTGTCCAGAACCTCAACCTGTATGCCTGGACTGTCCTTCCAGTGACAGTCCAGGGCAGATGCTCACCTGTTCCTGCCGCACCACAAACAGCACATCTTCTCTAGGCTGCACGGCCACTGCCTCTCCGCGGATGCTCACCTGCAGGCCCCGGGGTGCTGTGAGGGGGCACTGCAGCTGCACCGGGCTCTGCTGCAGGTCCACACCACCTTCGCACACATTGGACACCACCTTCCGATACCTGAGTGGATGAGAGAGCGTCAGGGTCAAGGTGCACAGTGGTGTGACGGGTAGGGACGGTCTCTCCTGAGGGAACTCACAGCCTCAGCCTCTACAGCCTCCACGTACTGCCTGCTTCCCGTGCTACCTCATGGCTGCTTCTGTCTACCGTAGATCTGAGAGCACAGAGGACCAGGGTGGAGGGGCTGGCCATGCCCATCTGCCTTGGAGAGCTGAAGCATCCATGGCCTGGCCATATTACCCACAGTAATAACAACTGTTTTGCTAAGGGACGATAGAAGGAGACAGTCTAAAATCCAAGGTCTTGCTGAGAACTATAGAGGACCGAGGTGAGCTCGGCCTTGGCTTCCTGGGGTAAGCAAGCATGTTGCTCTTCTTGGGATGTCTCCACCCATCCACTACTCATGTATCCAACCATCAGTGGCACAAGGGCCTCTTTGCAGCCCCACCAGGGCTTGGCAACTCTTTCTGAAGCATCATTCGGGACCTGAATCGAGAGTACATGAGTTTGGAAAGATGGGTATTTGTGGGGGCAGAGAATGGGTAGATGGGTTGGTGGGGGGATGGGTGGATGGATATGTGGGTGGGTGGGCAAATGAATAGACTGATGGAATAGATAGGTGGATAGATGAACAGGGCATAGATGAAGTAGATGGGTATAAGGATGAGTGGCTGGATACATGATTTATGATTGGGTAGATGAGTGGATGAAAGGGTGGATATGTGGAAGGAATATATGGATAGGAGATGTTGTAATCGAATGGGTGGATGGGTAGATGGGTGGAAGGGAGGATGGCTGGCTGAATGGATGGGTGGGGTTGGATAGGTGAGTGGATGGGTGATAGATGTCAAGCTACATACAGCCAAGGCTAAAGAATTCAGTTCTTGGTCCTGCCTGTTTCATCCAGTACTCCAGAGTAGGTAATAAGGAATCCCTCACAAAGGATGGGGAAATGGGCCCATCAACGGAGCATGTGGAAGCTGAAGGTTCACAGATGTTATGTGCTTGGTATTTCTACACAAAGTTGATACTTTACCAGTAGCTTGTTCAGCCTGCCCCGGGTGGGGAGAAGGGCCTGCCTGCCACTCCTCCATCCCACAGAGTTTGTGGGCACCGAAGCAAACTGGAGGAACATTGTGCGCCGTGGGCTTAGGACTAGCAGATGAGTATGGCAGTGGCTGAGATTTCAACTACAGCAGAGGAAACCCTGGAAGTGTGGGCTGGGAGAGTGATCTACCAAGTCTCCCACCAGGAAGTCCGGGGTAAGCAGAATCCCCCGGGCTTCAGGAGTCCCTGGCACCATCACAGTATGAGTGTGGAAGGCTCAGGAAGACCAGAGAAGGATGAGGCTGCTCTGGGGTCTCAGTCCCACAGTAGTGGGAAGAGTTGAGACACTTCTGCCCCTCTGTTCTCTATGATGTGTCAACACACAGTAGTTCTCTCTTGACACTGGCCCCAAGAGCTCAATGGGATCTGCGGACCATTGCGCCAGTCTGGTGAGTCTGACGACTTGTTGAGCTCTGCATACTCGAGCCCAGCACCAGGACCATGGTCTCTCCTTTTAAGCTGTGGGCTGCCAGGAAGCACAGTGTAGGGCTTACCTGGGCCCCACTTCTGGAGCTGGTTGGCAGAAGGGCTTGGGGGGCTGGATGGATGTATGGGTGGGTAGATAGGAAGATGGCTGTCTGACTGGATGACTGGGTGACCAGAGGTTGGCTGGGTTGGCGTACTCACCCAAGGCTACTGGTGTAGGTCTGGCCCAGGACACAGTCTTCAGGAGGGGACAAGGGGTTGAACCAGAAGTTGGCGGAGCACTTGTTAGCAGTGGACTCAGAGGAAGATGAGCGCTCAAACCCGTAGTCACTGGGAAGGGAAAGCTAGGTTAAAAGGTGAGATTAGAGGTGACAGCTAGGGAGGAGAAATTTATACCACAGGTCTAGATGTGTCCGTCTGTGGGGAGATGGGTGAATCCACAGGTTTGTCCCAGAGGACAGATGGAACATAGTAGCTCCATTCCAGAACAAGGAGGGTGGAAATGAAGGGGAGCCTGGAGGGTTTCCTGGGGGAAGTGAGTGACAGGGTCAGTGCCTTGGAAAGGGCATGGAGACCCCAATATGGGGTGCTGAGTAGAGAGGATGAGGCAGCTTGGGGTGGAGACTTCGCAAACTACATTGTCAAAGGGCAGTAGGCCTCTAAGCGGACTATATTCCTAGAGGGAGGGGAGGGGCGAGGTGAGTGTGACTTGCTCCCACGATGCTCTAAGGTCGAGGTGGCAGTGTGTGTGTGAGACTAGGCTTTGAAGGATACTGTGGCTTCCACCCTGGTTCTAGGGACAAGGTCAGCATGATGTAAAGATGCCGGAGCAGCCAGGAGGAAGGGGCGGTACCCACCAGAGGAAGTCAGAGTCCCGGCACTTGCACACACGTGATGTGAGTGCGGATGTGAAGCTCCTCCCCTTGACACACCAGGACGTAGACTTTCTCTTCCGGTAACTTCTCTGCTGGCCCATGATGCAGTGATCGCCCTGTAGCAAGAACACTAGGATGAGGAACCAGCAGAAGATGGTGACAGCTACCACTGGCTTGTCCTGTTGTTCCTGCCCTGGTGGCAGCTGGGGTGGGGCATTTGTTCCCTTTGATGAACAGGGAAACTGAGGTCCAAAAGAACTTGACATGTCAGTCAACTGGCCTAGCTTCCCTCATCTTAAGCCATATGACTGCCTCTTGGGGGTCACAGAAACTACAGGGGCCAGGTGTGTGACCATCTGGGGATGAGCCATGCCTAGAGGGCTCATGTGGACACACAGTGGATTCTCAGGTTGTGCTCGGAGCAGTACTGCCCTGATCCCAATAACAGGGCCCTTTTGTAGTGATGGGGCAGGATTGGCAGGAACTCTATGTGCTATAGTGAATCAGGTTCTGGAACCTTCCCTAGGCCCACCTTAACACTCTCTTATAAACCAGTTTCTGCTGAGGGCCATTGAGCCACTGGTCAGACCATTCTCTATGCGTGGACTCCTGATGTTGGATCTCCACTTACAGAGATTTCTGGCCCCTTGATGACTTCAGCTACTCTCCCAGCTAGAGGCTCAGAGTTCCCAACCTCAGGGGTCTCTCCTTAGGAACCTTGTAGCTTCTGATCTTCCTTGCCTACAAACCCCAACTTGATTTAGGAGTGTTAGCGTCTGTGGGGGTCTCATGTTCAACCCAAATGTGAAGGTTAGACACTGATGATGGACTGTAACATAGGATGTCCCAGACCCTGATGTCAGGTGGTCTCTGCCCACAAGCAGAAAAGATCCAATGGAGAACTCCTGGATGAGGGTGGGGATCAAGTCCTAAAGGCCCTAGGGTCATGAGGAACCATAGATCAACCAGCTACAGGCACAAAAAATGGCCCAGAAAATGACTGGGAGGGAAGATGCCCAGAGGTTAACATCTGTGAGATTCCCCGGAGGAGCAAAGGGGCTGCAGGCTGCCTGGCCCACCTGGAGGTCAGTGAGGTCCCAGGAGCTATAGTCATCCTCGCCACACTGCCGGGGGAAGGAGGGCCGGAAGTCCACCTTGACCAGCTCCCAGTCAGAGCGGAAGCTGATGTGGCCAAAGACCCTGAGGGGAGAAAGCAAGAAGACCGCTTTAGACTGATCTGTCCCGGGTGTGCAGACATGTCCCCCTCAGGTTCCCTGTGACACCTCCCCTGCCCCTGAGTATCTAGTGATGTTCTTCATCTTCAGAGTGATCGCTGCTGTGACTTGCTGACTGCACCAGCACAGGTCATCCACCCAATCCATGCAATCCCCTTCCTGACAGGAGCTGGCTCTCAGGAGGGTAGGCTCCCTGCCTTCTTGGCTGCCACAGGCCCTTCCATAGCCTCACACACCACACACTTGCTCTGTGTGGGCTGGAGCTGTGTGTAGTGTTATCTGGTGTCTCCCTGCCTTTCTGCTGACCTCATGGGACTGGGCCCCAAGATGTTTACCTCAGGCTGGTACTCTAGAGAGATCACAAGTCTTTGTGTGGATTGGACAGTAGGATGAATGGGTCAGAGTGACAGTGCAGTGCATCCCACTGAGCAGACAGCGGGACAGAGGGAGGCCAGACATACAGGAAGAACAGTGATGCATAGAGGCTAAGCATGCTCAGTTTGGTATGCCGAGACCAGCATCCCACACTGGCTTCTACTCCTCCCATCCGACTTCTCTGCAGACCGTGGTGGCCTTGTCTCAGGGACCTGCCATTCAGATGGGCATCCCTCTTGTCATGGCCCCAGCATCGGCTTGACAAGCAGCTGGAGAGGGGGAGGGTTCCATTTCTGTCCTCCCCTTTAGGGCTTACCACATCCTGTGAGGGATGCATGCTGATCACCCCAGACTTCTGAGAGGAAAACAGATTAAGGAAGGGATCCATCCAGGATGAATCCAGCAGTGGTACCTAGCTTACATTTGTGAGGCTTGGCCTGGGACACATAACCAATTAGCCAGAGTGTGACCGCCATGCAACCCCCTATATAGGAACATCCCATACACTGCACCCTGAGCTCAAACAGAGAAGCAGGCTGGTCTATCTAATCCACTCTGTGCGTTTCAGTGAGGAAAGCCCAGACCTCAGCTCCCACTGTGAGCATCTCTCATCTAGTTGAATGGTCCTAGCAGGAGAGCTCAGAGAGTCATTGGCTGCTTGACAGAGAGCCGGAAATGTGGGCCATACTGTGGAGTGCACTCCTGGTTCCTCCCCAGGTATGGCCTACAGCCCTGCCGGGCTGAGAGCCCTCACAGTCCTGCCCAGGGCTGGGGACCCTCTGCCATGTACTGTGCTGTGGGAGGCAACTGTGGCCAGTGCGGTGAGCAATGTCTGGACAAGGTGACTGTCGTCAGCTTAGACGTGATCTCTGGGTGGATGGGGATAAAGGTGCCATATGGGCAGGGCCCCGGTCTACTCTGGGACAGAAAAGCTTTTCATTCTGCCAGCCTGTGTCTCCTCCAAGGCGCGGGAATGATCTCCGTGTCCACTGAAATTGAAAGCTGTTTGAAGATGCAGCTTTGTGAAAGGCTCCGTAGGAGCCTCATGGAGCTTTTTAAAACTTAAAACATGAATGCGCCTGCCTGTGAACTTTGCTGCTTTCCCCGGATGAAATGCCATCTGCAGGGATGAAAGCTGCATCTGGGACAGACCTGGATCTGAGGACCTTGGCTGCACAAAGCACTAATGGCCCAAAGCAGCTTCCAAATGCAGGCGACAAGATGAAGTGAGGGGAGAGGAGGGAGGGGTGGGGCTCAGGGTGGAAAGCGCCCCACAGTGGGGCTTGGCTACGGAAGCCGAGGCCCAGGAAGCAGGCCCGCTTGCTGGGGCTCTGAGATCCCTGTCACAGCTGTCACCTTTGTGGCCAGCCCCTCTTTTTGCTTGAGGGCTCAGCCCTGCAAACTGGTCAGCCTCCTTGCAAAGAGACCGAGGACGAGGCTGAGTCCTCCACAGCCCAGGGAGCCAGACCTCCTTACCTGCTTCTCTTGACAAACACCAAGCGCCATGTCTCTGACCTCCCCTCCTGCCTCAAGGGGACTGCCCACAGACCGAGGCATGAGCCTTCCCAGGACCTTGGCAGGTCACAGCATCATGCGGGACCTGACCAGGAACAACCTGCCTACCCTCCAGGCAGTCAGGTAGAGGAAGATCTGGACCAGCTCAGTCTTCCATGCCTGGCACTCAGCTGCTCTAGGATGCACACACCAACTCTGTCCTGCAAACAGAGTCTTCTGGGGTTTTCCCCTGGCCACCCAGGAAGGAGGCTATGAGGCCAGCACCACGTCAGGCTTCTTCACTGCAGCCTGACTATGGGGGAGGGGCTCCATCTGTTCTTGGAGGGGGGGCATGCACATTCTGCTGGGATTCCACGGAGCTGTGGACACTCCATAGAGCACTGGGATGCCCAGTGGGGTTCCATAAAGGTCATAGGTGCTCCACGGAGGCTCCATGGACACTCCACGGGACTCTGTGGGTGCTCCCCGGGACCTTGAGACCAGAGAAGCATGCAGGCCAAGTCCCCTCCCCCAGCCTTCTTCCTGGCAGTCACTGGCCAGTGCAGATAGCAGATGCACCTGGGCCAACAGTCCTTGGTCCCTGGTAGGGGTCACTTGGTCTGGCTGTCTCTGACACCTGCCTTAGCTCCTGGCATGGGGGAGGTTGTCGCTGTATCCTCGTCCCCCATATGTCTGCTATTGTGTCAGGCAGGAGGAATGCATAGTTTTACAGCCTCTCATCTCACATGCCTGAAAGGACGCAAGGCTCGAGTCATGAGCTCCTGCCCTGCTCCATCTTCCGTTCATTCCCAGTCCGAGGCCGCCTCAGGGCTCAGAGACCAGACCCGGCTTGCCTGGGGTGGCTCTGACACGTGTCTTCCTCCCACCTTCCTGTTTTGCCCACGCTTTCACACACTCACGTCATGACCAGTGTCTCGTCCCCTGGCTCGCTCAGCAGTCCGTCCACGAACACTGAGGTGCTGGTGAAGTTGTGTGTGCTCCAAGTGTGGCCCTCATCCACGCTGAACCTGTGAAAGGCCGCCAGTGTTCACAGAGCAGTGTGATCCTACTCCTTTTCTGTGGCTCTCCACCCCCAGGCCTGATCCGTATCCAACAGAGGCCAGCTCTGGGACCATCCATTGCCACACCCAGGCCTCAGCTGCACCCCAGCCTCTCTCTCAGGAGAGACCACAGCAGTACCTCCAGCACCAGGGGCATGCCTGACTAACTAGCAAGGTGACGGCCTGCTGCCCTGGATGTATTGTTGGGATACCACACAGGCACTGTTCCCTGTGGGGCATCCCTGTGTTAGGTTCCCAGGGAATTGTTCTGGAATGCCCAGTGCCCTCCTCCCATGCTCTCACTTGAGGATCTTCAGGGGGATGGAGGTGTCCTTGATGGCAGCAATGACACCGCCGTGGTCCAGGTAGAGGACATGGTGTTCTTCCTCGAAGACCTGTGGGGGTGATACACACTCAGGTGAGGCCCCGACAAGGCCAGCAGAGCCTGGTCAGGAAGGGATGCCAGCTGTCTATTTAGCCCCCCCATACCCACTCACGACTTAGCACATGAGGAATGAGTGGGGCTTGGGGGACAGCGGCAGGATGAACACAACTGTGGTGTGCACACTCAGAATCCTGCCCCTGGTAACCCAGGTCAGCAAATGGCCCAGCAATGAGGGAAGCACAGAGTACTCAGAGCCAAGTTCAGGATGGACCCCAGGCCAGTGGGGGGTGCAGTGACAGAGCCTGGCTCCCTGACACCTCTGCAAGCAGGTGGACGTGGTCACCTCTGGCTCCCTGAAGTCCCAGACTTAGTGAACATGTGTCATCTTCCCTTACAGCCAGGGAGCTAGTAGGAGGCAGATAGATGACTTTGAGCCCTGTGGGGCCATCTCTGTGGAGATCTGAGCTGGGTACCTGGGACTCTGGCAAGTTGAAGAATACATGAATGAATGGCCACCATATGGATGAATTCATGAATGGATAAATGACCACTGAGGGTTTTTGGGGGGTGGTGGCAAAGGTATCTTGACAGGGGCTACCTAGGAGGGACAACTCTGTCAGCCACAGCCATCTGCTGATATCCTAGGGCAAGCACTGTCTCACATACAGGAAGCTGGGCTCAAAGCAGTAAGGCTATGCCAAGGCCTCACAGCCAGAAGTGCAGAGTCAGGTGTGGCTCTCAGTCACTCCAGGACACTAGGCCTTGTGAGCCCTTCTGTGGATTGGCACACATGGGCTACAGAGCAGTCCTCAGATGCTGTGAGTAGGGGCCCTGCTCCTTCCCTCTCCTCTGGGCAGTGGTTTCACCCCTCCTGGTGTGGGTACTGGAAGTGCCTGGGCTCAGGAGATTAGCAAAATACCTAATAATTGTCAGCAGTCACTCAAGACCTCAATGGGCTGGTCCCTGTAAATGCTCCCATCTGCAGCAAGGTGACATGGGCCAAGAGAGAAATGAGTAACATGGTGGAACATGCTAGAGGGATGGGCATATTCCAAGGAAGGTAAGGCCAGAGAAAGGGCCAAACTACTGTTTCCAGATGGGTGTGGCCTACACCAGCCCTGGCTGGAGTGGGAAAGGTCTTGACTGCAGGAAACTAGGCCCGACAGTAACCTGGTTGGAGACAGCATCAAGAAAATTGCTAAGGAACCCTCAGACAGTGACACACTGGCTCTCTGGTACCTTAAGCAGCTCCTGGGGTGCAGAGCTGGGAGGGGACACACACCCATCCCTGGCTCAGCCTTTCTCTGTTCTGCTCAGAGTCCTAGCAGGTCTTAGAATGCTGTTGGTGAGGTCCTTGGTCATTCCAAGGAGCTCATGGCCTTGTTATCCAGGTTTTGAGACAAGATCTTGCTCTGCAAACCAGGAGGACCTTGAACTTGCACAGGAATCTCCTTCCTCTGCCTCTCAGATGCTGGGGTTAGGGTGAGCACCACCAGGCCTGGCTGGTGGCTCCTGGCTTAAAGCTTATGTCACTCCAGGAATGCTCTGCCCTCTAGCCTGTCTCCATGTGTCAGGGCCTCTCTGGCCAAGGAGGAAACACCACAGCAGCCCCGAGTGCCCCACTGGTCTGGAGCCGTTGACAGCCCAATCCTCTCCCCGACTACCGCCCCCAACTATAACTGCTGACAACCACTGTCTGCATCCGTTCCTCCTTGACACACACATGCATGTGCACACGTATGCACACAGGTGCTGCCCCGTCAGGCATCTCACCTGTGAAGCCTGCTGTCCCTTGGCAGGGTAACCCTACCCTGTAACACTGGTCTCGAGGCCTCCCAGGGAAACCTAAGCACACTGCTTCACAAAAGTGACCCCGCAAACGTCTATTGAGTGAGGTGGTTCTTCAGTGCTGCCGTGGGTGAAGGTGGACAGATGGCGACCTTTATGAACCTTAGAGAGGCTTCACTGGTTTTGGCAAAATAGACATATTTAATGCAATAAATCTCTCCTGCCCTTTTGAAGATGCCTTGCTCGGTGCATCTCATTAAAACTGCAGTGGTCTTAGTCCTCGACGCAGGTGAGCTCTGTATGCAGGGATGAGTGTTTGATGCCTGCTGGGGATTTGACTGTATGGCCAGGCACAGAGGATGACCCTGGAACAGGACTGTCTGCAGACAGTTGGGCTTGGATGCTCAGGTCATCTTACAGCTGAATCACCTCTCTGGGAAGTCGGTAGACGAACTCAGCCAGGAACCCACCACCCCAGAAGGCAGCCAGTGTCTGTCTCACAGGGCAGGGCCCTTCTGGGAGTGTGTGGGGGTGGATACCTGCAGCTTCTATGTGCCATGGGCTCTGTGGGGGCTGCCAACCCTCCTGTCAGTGTCCTCACTGTTCCTGTGCTAAGGGCTGACGGTGGCCAGTATTCCTGTAACCAGTGGATATGACATCCATGTGGAGCTGTGCGTTGGGGATGCACAGGGTATTGTTGTTGAGGGGATGGCTCCCACAGGCAGGCTTTCCTCATTTTCCTTCCTTCCTTTGCCATCTTGGGTCACACACGCCCCCATTACAGCAACACAGGGGACGTCTCCCAGGACCCTAAATCTGCCCTTCCCACATCCTCTTCCGTTTATGTGCCCGCTGTCTCTACCTTTTGGCCTGAAGGAGGTCAAAGCCAAGTAGGAGGTGCTCATGTGGTCTTCAGTCCCCTTTCCCAGATGTCCCCAGGGACACATCTGAGTGGGAAGTGCTTCTAGGGTGTATAATACCCAGCAGAATCCACAAGGCACTGGGCAGATGGTCCCACCCCAACTGGACCCCCCCTGACTGCCCCCCCAACTGGCCCCACCCCAACAGATCCTAGCCCTCAGCAGAGGCCTCAGCTGCTTCTGGAACCCTGAGGCTGGTAGTCATGTGCAGACACCTGGTTCAGGACTCTAGAGAGCCCCTGTGACAGGAGGGGCGCAGAAGGGATAGAGTCCTGGAGGCCTGAAGAACAGCAGGTACCGCTGTCACCTTACCTGTCGCCAGGTGTGCCCACAGTCGGACGTGATGTACATTTCCTCTTTATACTCCACCAGCTGCGAGCCCAGGTTACCTGACCCAACAGAAAAGGTTGTGTTGCTCTAAGACCAGGCAGATCCAGGTGATCAAGAAAAGGAAGGCCTGTGTTTCTGCCATGGTCACCCACAGCAGGCCCTGGCTGCCTTCCTTTTCAAACAGTGGCCCTGGTGTGGCTGTTGGGCTCCAGCTGGTCCCCTCTGGGCAGAAAGAGCTCAACCCAGCTGAGCCCAGTGCAAGGGCTCCAGCCTTAGTGCCAAGGTGAACAGACTCAAGTGCTTAAGAATGCCCTCGGGTGTTACTTGAGGGTAAAATGCGTGATGATGGTCAGGGTCAGGCCGAAGGACCTGAGCCGGCTGGGGCGGCATGGGCTTGTGGATCCTGAGAGAGGAGAGGACTTCATGATTATCTGGGGGCAGTGTCCTGGAGGCCATGTGCACGGGAGGCCATAGTGAGTCTGGGTAAAGGGCAAGCACACAGCAGATTCACATCCAGTTCCTGTGGAGGGGACCGTGCGACGTGAGGGAGATGGAATGGGCAGCAAGAGCTGAGCCCTAGCCTGGGTCAGCTCCAGGTAGATGGCATCTCATCCAAGATGCAGACCAGACCAGACCAGAGCAGCTACCTCATGCGGGCTGCTATGGACGGGATGGAGGTTTCAAGTGAGGAGCATAGCCTGTAGGTTCACAGCATGGGACACACAATGGCTTCACAAATGGGGCCTGGTTTCCCCAGAATCCTACCATGGCCTGGAGCATAGGGGCTTTCTGATGAGACAGCTGGCTGCATCAGGATAGACCATCATCTACCTGTCTGCCCACCTCTCCATCCACCCATCTATTCAACTACCCATCTACCTACAAATCCATCCATCCATCCATCCACTCATCCATCCATCCACTCATCCATCCATCCATCCATCCACTCATCCATCCATCCACTCATCCATCCATCCACTCATCCATCCATCCATCCATCCACTCACCCATCCATCCATCCATCCATCCATCCATCCATCCATCCATCCACTCATCTATTTACCCACCTATACATCCACCCATCCATCCATGCACTCATCCACCCACCTGTCAGGCCCTCCCTCCCTCCCTCCATCCCACATTCACCACAAGGATTTCCAGGGAACCCCTGCCCCCTGAGAGGAGATACCCTACCTCTAATGGACACAACATGGCCCCAGGCTCATGGCCTTCAGTTCCCATGCACGGGATATGAGCTTCCCTCAGGCTGTAAAGGCTGCTGTAGCTACCCACCTGCACCCATGATGAGGCCAGGGGCAGTGTCCTTGGTGTGTACTGTGCCCGACACATAGGGGTTGTCTGCCCAGCGCAGGTGTAGGTGCAGGTGGCAGTCCGGCTGGGTAGAAAAGAAGGAAGAACAGTAAGCACGTGGTAGTATCCTAGGAAAATGAGTCCTGTGGCCAGATCTGCCCCATGGTCTTCATCAGTGAAAGCTGGGTAGGGGTGCCTTTGGAGGGTGGGAAGCTGTGCTCAACTGACTGCTGGGTGTTGGGAGCGAAGGATGAGGATGGCTTCAGCAGGAGCTACCTGGGGCCTAGGGAACCGAGGAGTGGAGAAAGGGCCAACCAGACACTGTTGGAGAACAGAGACTCGAGGTGAGAGAGAGGACTTCAGGTGGCTGCAGCTTCTTCAAGGGAGGGGCCTTGTGGCCTGGATTCCCTCAGGATGGGTTTCCATACATGGCTCACTGGGTCAAAGAATGCATATGATTCCTAGGGCTTGTGAAGCCCCATCTCTCACCCATCCATCCATCCATCCATCCATTCCTCCATCCAGAACCTTTACTTGGCACTTTGGCTTGAGGTCCAATTCCTCTGCTGCCTGTCATGCCTGCCTAGGTCCTGCATGAGCCTAAGGTGGAAGGTCCTCCGAAGCTGCCCAGAGTGGGGTCAGGTGATAGAGGCAAGCAGAACCTCCAAAGAGCTTGTGCAGCAAGCCCAGATAAGGTGGCTGGCAGGTGAGCTATCCATTGCTGGCCCTCTCATATGTGGGAGCTGGCAGATCCTCTACAGAACTGCCCAGCAGCTCAAATTGTGGATCAATGGGTAGGCAAGAGGGAAGTGGCTGACTCAAACCCAGCTCTGTCTAGAAGTATTTCTGATATACTGGTACTTCTGAATACATAGGTTTCTATGGGCTTCCCTTCAGAATCCCAGACACCAACAGATTCAAACCCATTTCCTAAATGAAATTCATCTTGTTAGAAGAGATGTTATCCGGGATGGGGAGATAGCTCAGTGGGTAAAAGTGCTTGCTGTGTAAGCTTGAGGACCTGAGTTTGATCCCCGACATGATCCTGAAAGCTAGTCACAGTTGCATGTACCTGAAGCCCTAGTACAAGGAGGTGGGGGTAGAAACAGGTGGATCCTAGGGTTTCTTGACCTCTGTGTTTAGTGGAGTGACACCTGCCCCACACTGTCTCAAAACATAAGGCCGAGAACAACAGAGGAAGACATCCCATTAGCTTCTGGATTTGACATGTGCTCGCATAAATATGTACTCTCTCTCTCTCTCCATTGTGTGTATGTGTGTGTGTGTGTGTGTGTATGTGTGTGTGTGTAAAGGAGACACACCACACCAAGCTAGTCAGAGAACTTAGAGCCAACGCATAACCAAATAGAAGAAATAGAAGACAGGCAGCAGAGAATTACCATCAGCCTGTCCCTGGCTCAAGGACAGCACCAACAAATGCACTAAGACAATGACAAAGACCTCAGCTGTTCCTGGGTGACATGGCTCCTGGCAGACGTTACAACCCCAAACTCCCAGGAACCCTGTCACTGCTGTCTGAACTGTGGTCCACGAGTGTCTGAGACAATGACATTGTCAGGCTTAAAGGCGTGGGTTTGGTCACCTGTCAGTCTATGTTGTCCCACTCTGGATGGAGACCTCAGTCATTCAGGTGGGAACCAGGGCTTCGGACTGTCATTGATATGTCTGTGGTCCCCTGGCTTCCAGGCACTTTGCTTTGGTCTCCAGTGCAATCTCTGTCTGCCTGGGCCACTTGGCCCTTTCTCCTCCTGCCAGCATCCTTGCACACACACACACACACACACACACACACACACACACACAAACACACCATGCCTGGACACAAATATCACAGAGGCTGCCTCCTCACTGAGCTGAGTAATTGCAGACAAGAACCTTCTCTTAGCTTAAAGTTGCTTTGTCAGATTAATGTGGCTTAACTTCCCCAAAGATGATACGAAAATTAGCCTTTCATAGCGGCTTTGAACCCGAAAGGGCTTTTACAAGTGGCAGGTAATTCATTCCTTACGCAGGTGGACAGGGCTTGGGAGCCTTCCGCATCTACAGTGAGGCCTGAAGAGGAGGCCTGAGAGAGGAGTGGAATAGAGCAGGCAGGACAGTGGCCATCCCTGCCCAGGCAAAGTCTTAGGCAGCTCATACTCAGTGGCCGCCTTTAGTGGCACCTGCCACTATACACACTTCCTCTATCACCCCCCAGCCCTTAGTGACATTCAGCAATGTCAGCAATGTTCAGAAGCAGGCTTGGAAGACTCTGCTCCTACTGTCCCTTGGACCTCTGCTAGCACCATGGGGTCACACCAGCACTATCCTGGCAGGGCACACAGGTATGGACAGCAGACATCAACCTATGTCAGTGGCTCCCTGGCTTGGAACCACCTGGAGAAGTCCTGTGGAGCTGAGAGTGAGGGAGGGGCTGGGGTTTGGGGGGCAGTTTCTCACACTGTAATTTCTTGGAGATGAATGATGTCCATGATTCCCACTGTGTGCATTCCTATGCCTAGCAGAAACTGGTGGCTTGTGTCTCTCATGTGTACCCTGGCAGTGGCATCTGTGCCACTCTCTTGGACAGGGTAGAGTACCTACCGGCTGACAGTTGGTGGGCTTCCCATTCATGTCGGTGCTCGGTGGCCGCAGGTAATCCCAGTCACGGCCCTTGTTGTAGGTTATGAGTGTTGCCACCTTGCCGTCCACTTTCTGGTTTGCCAAGAAGACTCCCTTCACCCCTCTGACCTGAGGAGACATAAGAACCCATAACGTTCCGCACAGATCACCTAGAGCAGCAATAGCCAGGCATTGCCCCTACTGAGCATGCTGCATATGGCTTTGCCTCATCCTGGATGCAGCCTGACACATGGAGACTGGTGGCAGGCTTGGATGGAAGAGTTCTGTCTACTCCAGGGTCAGGGGATCTGTAGGACACTGAACTGTTTACCCAGGACCTCTGACCATCAGATAGCAGGAAGGACCCTGGTACCTTCACCAACTAGTGTATCTGATGAAAAGATTCCCCCCTTCACCATCCCTACCATGGATCCCAGGATCCCCTCACTTGCTGTGTCTGTTAGACCTGCTGGCAGGTCCTGTGCCACAGCAAACACTCCTTGGCTTTCCCTGGGTCCCCAACAGCCCACCTGACAACAATGGAAAGATCTCTGTTTATACTGGTATGCACTGGCAGGACTACACTGGTTTTTCATTTCCCTTTCTCAAGGGCTCTTACAAGGTCCCAGTTCAGGTTGCAACATCAAAGAGTGGCCACTGAGCTGATTCATAAGAAAGCCCAAGAGTCAGCCATTTCATCACATTAGACTCAGTGGTGCCCTTGAAGGAAAACCTATTCTTCAAGCCCCTTATTGACAAAGACTTAAAGTCACACTCACTGAGCACTTCTAGGGTGATGTGACAGGTACAAGAATGTTCCTTCATCCAAGGCTCACAGCAGAGGTTTCTCCACTCCTCATGATATAGCATGGTGTTGCTGCTCACAAAGTTCCTCTGGGGACTGGGGCTCAGACAACTGTGCATTTTACTCAGAACTTTAGAGCCAAGGATTATAATTAGGCTGACACAGCTACCAAGGTCAGCGGTGCACTCTACATACAGGCACTGATCATACATCATCTCATTAGAATCTGAAAAGTCAGTGCAGTTATTCTTCATGTGTTTGTTTGCAGGTGGATAGTTCACCAGTGATGTGCTGCTACAGATGTAGGAACAGAGAGGGGAATGGGTAGGCAAGTGGACCGGTAGGTTGGATGAAACACAGATGGAAAGGTGTGGGTAAATGGATAGGCAGATGACTGAGTGGATCAGTGGATGAATGAATGGATAGGTGGATTGATTAATGGATGGCTGGTTGGGTAGAGGAATGGATGAAGGTTGGATAAGTGTATGGACTGGTGGACAAGTGGATGGATAGATGGATGGGTGGACATGTAGATGACGTGTAGATGGACTGATGTGTAGATGAGTGGATGAGTAGATGGGTAGATGGATGCATGGGGATGAGAACATGAATGGGTTGGATTATGAATGAGAGGATGTATTAGGGGATGAGTGGATGGATGGAGGGTTGGTTGGGAGCATGGGTAGATGAATGAGTGGGTGGATTAATGGGAAGATAATGGATGAATGATGGATGGGTAAGGAGATGAGTAGATGGGCAGATGGATGAGTGGATGCATGGGTGGATGGGTGGCTATGTGGATGAATGGATGAGGATATGGGAAGATGGCTAGTTGGGTAGATGAATAGTTGAATGAGTGGATTGATGGACAGATGAATGGATGGGTGGATTAGTAGACAGAGAGATGGTATCTCTACTTCCTATAGGTGCTGCAACATCACAAACTTATTGCTTCAAACAACGCACTTATCATGTACAGCTGTGGTGGTCAGAGCTCTGACCTGAGTCTCTAATTCATTTTGTGCTCCTCTCTGGAGGCTGTAGGGAGAAATCCGTTTCTCACTGAGCCTTTGGTTCCTGGATTTTCTCCTTCATCTTTGGAGTCAGCAATGCAGAGTTTCTGGCTACCACCATAACTTTCCTTTGTCATCCCTAACTGCCTCCCTGTTCCACTTTCAAGAACTCTATAGCAAGGTTCTTTAGACAGTGCATAACAGCAGTCTCTGGAGTGTCAGTCTCAAGCCCACCTGCAGCCTTGGCTCCCCTATGTCAGGTGGTGTGACACACACCAGCATGGGCTTGGGGGATCAGGGAAGAGCTAGATGGCTGGGTGAGCCTCATTCTGTTTAGTAAGTGTCTCATTTGATCTCCATGGACACACATGATTCTGTCATGAGAAACACATTCACCCATTTGAAAGTCTAAAGTTTTCCTCTTATTATAGCATCAGTATAAGTTAAAAAAGTAATAAAAATTCCTGTCTAAATTTTGTCAGGTCAAAGACTGCAAACCTTATTGAATAGGTATAGTAATACAAATGGGCCTATGAAACCAGAGAGTGAGCTACTTGCTTCTGAACCACAATGTGAGCCCAACTGTAAGGTGATTATGAAGGACACCCCAGAGGTTGGGTGGGGGATGGGGGGCCTGGTGAGGAGGGTGGGGAGGAAGGGAGGGAGAGGGCACTGGAATTGACATGTGAAACAAGCTTGTTTCTAACTTAAATTTTAAAAAAAAGGAAGAGAAAAAAATGGAGAATGAGAAGGAAAAACAGAAAGCCCATTGCCAAGTGACCTTGCCATGCAGCAGAGAGCACCCTCTGGTGGCACAGGTGGGAACAGCTGCTTGTGGCCAGGGCTCTGCTCTCTGACTGCATTCCCCGCTCAGGATGGCAGCCCAGCAATTTTCTGAGTCTGCAGAGTCCACGCCCTTCTGCCATGCACCCCTCTGTCCCTGCAGTCCACACTGCTGTCTTTCTGCTTAGCACATTCTCAGAACCTCGGTGTCTGGATTTGCGGCACTGGACTCTCCATTCCTCCACCGAGGCAAACACATATCTGGAAGCACTTTAGAGGACCTCCCGTGACATGCCATGTGACCACATGATCCACGAAGTGAGGTGATTTGGCCTGTGACACCCTGAATACTCTTCCTAACTCTAACATAGATAGTAATTCAGAAAAGTTCTGTCAAAACCCAATAGGACCGGAGGAGGACACACAACCTGGGGATGCACAGACCAGGAGAAAAACCCTGAGACTCAACAGCAGAGACCACGATAGTGACAATACTGGCTGCGTACAGGAGATTCACATGCTAGCTGCCAAGTCAAGCCCTTCCCATCCACCATCCCTAATCCCAGAGTAGGTGGCACTGGGAACATGGAGTCTTGCTGTTTTTCTAAGGAAAGTATCCCTGTATCCTTGCATTAGCCCTAAAAGAGATCATTGCTAGTTTCAACAAAATGCTAGCTGAAACCAAGCCCAGAGAGGTTAAGTAACCTTCCTTGGACAGCACAGCACAGCAGACATGTACCAGAGCCTAGATAGGAGCCCAGCTGATTCAGGACCAGAGCTGAGCCTGACGCTGCCCACACTGGGTGAAGTTGGAGAGGGTAAGTCACTTTGGAGGCACCAGTGGGTGAGCAGTGGATGCTGTCTTTGCAACGGCTTCATGCCCTCAGCTTACTGCTTCCCCTCCTAGCTGACTCCCGCACTGCCTCATCTCAATGGGGCACCCCACCTCTTCCAGGAGGCCCACCCTGACTCTTACCTAGACATTACACCGTGGACCACTGGCAGTATGGGCTTAAGGACACTGCCAGGAGATATCTTTATTGTGGGGGCAGGGGTCTTGAGGGAGGCAGCATGTGAGGAATCTTTGCCGGTGACTGAGGATAAAACCCCAAGCATGGCAGGCAGATTGTGTGATTGTGTGTGTGTATGTGTGCGCGTGTGCGTGTGTGTGTGTGTGTGTGTGTGTGTGTGTGTGTGTGGCAGATGTCTGTGGAGAGGGTAGACAGCGCCTCCCCCTGTCAGGCCTGTTCATGGTACCCTCCCATCTATCACTGCTCACCTTGGCTCCAGGGCCATAGCCCTGCCTCTGAGTGTTCCGGTGCTCAGATGTTGCCAGAGACATCCTGAGGACTAGGGGAGGGCTACAGGACAGCCCTGTCCCTCTGCGGCCCCAGCTGGGAGGTAGCACTGACAAATGGGCTCTCCTTGCAAACAAACGATTACATTCATCATTTTGCTGGGAATAATGGTTCCACAATGCTGCTGGCAGCTGGAGACACATTGAAGTTCCCTCCACCTGGGTGGTTCCCTCCCAATCATAGGGACAAAGCCCATTGTCTGCCAAGGGCTACCCGCTGAGCCAGACTCACTATCCAACAGAAGCATCATCAGGCTTCCTGTGGCTGTCCTCTCCTGAGCATGGGCTAATTGATACTGTCACCCCTGGTCATAGAGTCTACAAGGGAAAAGAGATCATTGTCCAGGCCAGGCCCATGTCAGGTGCCTAAGGGACTTTTTGTGGATTGAACCTGAGGGCCAGGCCACTGTCAGCAGTGGAGAGCATTGGTGTGGATTCCAGAAGCTTGGATGGGTGCCTTGGCATGAGTGGGGACCCATGGAAACTTGTATGGGGCCAGACAAGGCCAGAACCCCTGCCTTACCATCTCAGGTAGGCAGGGGGAAAGGCCGTGTTGCAGCAGGTCAGGGTGGACAATATATGTGGAGGGGTAGGAGTAGCAGCAGAGATGGTGACAGACTCCAGCTCTCAGGACAGGCAGAGGAAGGAGGAGTCGTGGGCAGGAGGAGAGAGCCTCTCCCGGAGGGCTGGCCGCAAGACCACATGGGCTGTGGCCACCTTTGCACAGGGAGAGCCTTGTGTGCTAAAAAACTGAGTCCACTTCTGCAAGATGTTACCCACCAGGAATTTACTTCTCATTAGCGAATACTGTTCCAATGAACTTCTTTAGAAAACCAGCTTCCCTCTGTCTTAAGCCCCTGTGATTCAGCCTCTGTGGCACTAAAGCCTGAAACATCTGGTGCTTTGCAGGTATCCGTAACCCCTGGGCAAGCAAGAAGGAGGCAAGGAGGGGCGGGGGAGGGGAACATGAGCAGCTGTTCCTGTCCTGCCTGGTGCCTACCTCAAGGATGTCGATGACCACATTCTCCTCAGCCTGCCTCGAGCTGCGCACGTTCTCCAGCACCAGGGAGTAGTGCACGCCGCGCAGGTCTGACTGGTACAGGTTGTAAGTGTCCACCTGGTTCCACTCCTGTACGGCCACGAACACCTGCTGCTCATCCGTGCTGATGATCTGCAGGTCCTGGGGGGTGGAGGATGGTCAGACAGTTGCCTGGAGCACAGACACCACCTCCCTGCTGCCCCCAAGGCAGGCGGATCAGGGCTCCATCCCGGTAAGTCATGCTTAGCTCTGGGGTCTTAGACAAGTGACGTCACTTCCACGGATCTCAATGTCACACCTCTAAAACGGGAGTCATGTTTAGACCCCTGACACCAGGGTAGGGGGTAGCCTGGGGATGCCTCCTTTTCCCCATTCCACGGGATATTGTCCATCTCCCTACAATGAAGATGGGCTCCCCTAAGCACCCCACATGTTCAGAATGAGTGGCAGGGATAGATAGGGCTAGGCTCCAGGGAGTCAAGCGGTCCTTCCTGTGTCTAGCCTCTATTCATGAGCTTCAGAAAGGGAGAAGCTGCCTGGGCAGTCAGACTACGGTGCCCCACAAGCCCCGCTTGCCCACTGTCTTCTGTAGCCAGCCCTCAGCACCACGGGGCAAAAAGGGCTAGAAGAACAGCAGCCCAGGCAGTGGCTCCAGGCCTCAGTTTCCCCCCGTGTGGGCCAGGCACAGACCTTCAGAATCTGTTAACAGCTGTACAGTTCAGGAAAAAAAAAAAGTTTCCCCTGGTGTCCCGGCCCCGTGTGGGCTGCCCAGAGAAGCTGCAACCAGGGAGGCTGCACCTAGGGACGGAACCCTCCACCTCACAGCTGGACAGACTTCACTCTGTGTCCGCCATGCACGCTTTGCTTCCCATCCCCCGAAACTCACCAGCTCCCTGACACAGGCTACAGGAGCTGAAGATGGATGTAGGGTGTGAGGTACCCTCACATGAAGACTCAGGCCCCGTTGGGTGTGCTCCCTTTGGGGAAGTGGTTTTTATTTGTGTCTCTTTGATGAGGGGCTCCCTTGGCTCTTGAGTGATGGCACCCGGTCCATCCCCTCACTGATGACTGGTCCCTATGCCATGTGTCCAAAAGGGCATTTCTGAGCCAGGCATGGCAGTACACCCAGGAGGCTGAGGCAGACGAATCATGAGTTTGGGGCTATCTTGGACTATGTAGCAAGGGCCTTAAGAAATGCAGAGGTGGTGGGGTTTTGCAGAAAAGCCCATATCATGTACCTCTCAGCTGGAGGACCCCATAGGCACAGAATCTGAGCCCTGTGTCTACAAACATAGATTGGACACACAGAAATGATGAGCTAAGAGGTGTGTGACCCAGGAAGGAGTCCGTGGGGCCCAGTCCCACATGTGAGCCAGGCCAGAACAGTGATGGAAGTCTGTGGGGTGCCTGTGGGAACATGCTGGTTAACATGTGCCCACCCCCAGTCTCTGTGCTGTGGGCAGGAGGCAGGATGAGCGGCTTCTGGCTGCTGGTCATTTCGCTGCCCTCCAGGGAGGTCATGCCCATCAGTTTGGGCCATGGTGGGTAAACAGATCCATCAGAACTGAATGGAAAGTAAGGGTCTTTCCCACAAGAAGGTTCGGCAGGGGCAAGCTTATGTGGGGGTAGCAAGCACAGGGAGCCAGCATGCCAGCACAGAGCAGTGCAGTAATTCAGGTGACAGTCCTGATCCAACACCACTTTCATAAGCTGGTTAGAAGTCCTGGACAAATGCTATAGGCTATGAAGCAGCTTGGGGCCATCCACAGCGCCCCACTAGAGAGACCTGGAATGAACACTTCAACATGTTTATGTTCAGGCTCTCCCCCAAGCATGATTCACGCACTCTCCACGTCTGGTTTATAGCTTGCTCCGCACACTGCGTGGGTGTCTCTTCCTCTGCCATGAATGTTATTTATAAACACCACTGTTAATGGCTGCATGATACGCATTTATGGCCCAGCCATATTTCACTGAGTCCTGCCCCTACTCCAGAGGATCAGAGGGGATGTTTCCAGACCCGGGTCCCTCCCTGCCTCTCTGCTTGTTTCCTTCCCATAAATTCTAAGAAGGAAGATTGCCACCGCAGGGGCAGGGAATGTCTCTAGAATGCTTGTTGCATGCTGTTGTGATGTTCAGATTGGCTCCTTCCACAGCAGGCTGCTTATTATGCCCCTTCCCGTGGGCCAGCACTGAGAGAGGTCACACAAAAGCCTCGATGACTAGTGTGACAAATACTTTGCACCATCATAAATTCCATTTACTTTCATTACTCTCTATTTACAGAGTAGCAACTAAAAACATCCCTTCACTCCATTGTTAATAGAGGCACAGAACCTTCATGTGTGTATCTATGTTGGTACGTGTGGCCTGGAAAGATCTATAGAAGGGAAACACTAGTTGGATAATATTTCTTTTGTTTGTTTGTTTGTTTGTTTTTTTCGAGACAGGGTTTCTCTGTATTGTTTTTGGATAATATTTCTTATCAGGGAGGATTAGGAGGCTTCAAGAAGATAGGTACTCGTCCCTCTTGCCTGTGAGAGAAGCCCAGCGGTGGGCAGGCTAGTGTAGAAGCCCTACAAAGCCACCAAGGGCAGGCCTCTTCTGGGCCATCATTCTGTGGCCCCATGACATGTGTTTGTCTTCAGGGCCCAAGACTGGTGTTGGAGTTCCACAGTAACACTAAAGGCAGCAGGAAGGGGGAAGAGGGAAGGAAGACTGGACATCCATATGGTGTTCCCAGAAGTCACACAAGGAAACTTCATTAATATCTCATTGGCAGACCGTGAACATGTGACCACATGTAGATCCAGAGGAAGACAGGAAACGCAGCCTTTTCCCTGGGTAGCCCAGCTGCAGCTATTCTATGAGGTTGGCTGAACTAAGACAAAGGGCACGGTGGACACTGACAACTCACCAAGAACTTCTCTGTATCATTATCTCTTGAGGCAAAGAGATGGAAAATGGAGGAAGGAATGGGCAAGCAGATGGAAGTGATGTGTGTGTGTGTGACTCACACCATTTACATGTTTGTACAAGGCTCACATACAAATTAAAACTTATTGTTATAATTATAATTACAAACTGTGTATAAATGACAACATGCTATATATATATATATATATATATGGAAATGGTTTTAGAAGATTTTAATAAGCATGATGGCAGAAATTTCTCGTGGACCACCATATAGAATCCCAGCAGAAATTTTCCATAGTATTTTTTCAAAGTTTTTATGTATGTATGTGTGGATACACATCATTCATGGAGGCCAGAAGAGGAAGTCAGATCCCCCAGAGCCAGGGTTACGGGAGGTTGTGAGCTGCCCAACACAGGTGCTGGGAACCAAACGCTGGCCCTCTGCAAAAGCAGCAAGAGCTCATAACTGCTGAGCCACCTCTCCAGCCACAGCATAGATTCCTATATGAAATTCATGAGCAATCCCATGAGCCAACACTTGTTTTTCGAGACTGGGTTTCCCTGCGTAGCTTTGGAGCCTGTCCTGGAACTAACTCTTGTAGACCAGGCTGGTCTTGAATTCACAAGAGATCTGCCTGCCTCTGCCTCCCAAGTGCTGGGATTAAAGACGTGTGCCACCAGTGCCCAGCTCCTATTTTTTTTAGCGCTTTGGCTACTCTGGCTCCCAGCCTTCTGGCTCTGGGGATTTCAGTAAGAAATCTGCAGAGGAAATCCTCATTTGACAAGTCACATCTCTAGTGCTGCTTTCCAGACTCCCTCTTCGTCACTCTGGCTTCATAACTTGATCATGATGGATCTTTGCATGCGCCTTTGTCTTGGGACTGGCCAACCTTTGAAATATTCACATTCATGTGCTTTGTGATTCTGGGGGTAGGGGGGCACTGTTTCTTAAATCAGTCTCTCTGCCCCTTGCTCCCTGTCCTTGTGGGATTCTCACAGTGTATGTGCTGCTCTGATGGTAGTGTCAAAGGGCCTCATACCTGCTTACTTCCACTGTTTTCTCTTCAGGTCCCCCGATTCGTTCTTTGCCTGCCCAAATCTGCTTTGGAGTCCTTCTTATTTTTCTTATTTCTTTCTATTTAAAGTTCTAGGGTTTCTATTCGGGCATCCTTAACATTTCCTGTCTCTCCATAGACATTTCTTTTGTACATAGTGTCCTCCTGCTGTTCTCTAAGCATCTTGAGACAATTCTATTATCCAGCAGGTCGACCAGCTGGCCTTTCTTAAGCATGATTTCAGTTCTGAGCAGATCATGTTTTCCTGTGTGCCTTGTGATTTTTGATGACTGGAAATTTAGTGTGTGTGTGTTTTGGAGTTTTCTTAAGGTCTTTTCAGTCCATGCCAACCTCAAATTCATGATCCCTCTGCCTCAGCCCCATGATTACTAGGATTATAGGCCATGGTCCATCATGCCCACCTAAAACTGGATATTTGAATGTATGATATACTAACTGAAAATTCAACTGTCTCTTTTCTGCAGAGACTGTCTTGTTTTTACCTCTGACCAACAAAGGCCCTGTCTATACTGAGGCCCAGACCAGCATGTGTGGGGCATGGTGACTTATTGTGCCTCCCTTATACATTTAGATACACTGGTCCTCAAAAGTCTGCCCCCCAAAGAAGAAAAGAGGCAAAAAGGGGAGATGGATGGGCTCTGGCCCTACTTCATCTCACTGTGGCTGTTGACAGCAGAGCACAGGCCTCTCAGTGTCTGGAGGAAAAGGCCCATAGTATTCACCCTGGCCATGCAGAGTACTTGATATCTGCTCCAGAAAAGCACACATTTGCCTGCTGTGAGGCAAGGGCAGACATGGATAATGTTCCTAGGTCAAAAGCTTAAACTGTCAAAACTAACCTTGCTATATTATCTGATGCCTGGACACTAGAGGCATTATAGCAGACTGCAAAGTCCCAGAATAGTCATGAGCCTACACTCTGCTGTGTTGCTGCTGCCAAGGGGGAGGGTGGAGAAGGTCCTGGAGCTTGCACCCGGCCATCCTTCCCAGCATCACTCTCTCCTCTATTATGTGTGATATGCTTTTTATTTTGCTTTAAATAAATTCATTACAAATACAGGATGATTTTTTTCCTTTCAAGTAAATCTGCATTCACCTCACCCCTGTGAATGCTTTCTATGTAATTTGTGGTTCTGTAGACACTTCTTGTGAGCATTTTTCTCTGCTAGGGAGCTTCAGGGCATTTAAAACAGGCATTACAAGTCTACAAGTCATCAACTCAAATCGAGGATGCTGACTCACCCCAACAGCTGTCCATCCTTCAGAGAGTTCAGAAGTGGGTGTCAAAATGGCAGAATGGCATCATTTACCCCCTTAGACACAGAACAGGGGAGGCAACGTACACACAGCTGTGCTGAGTGTGATTTAACTCTGTGGGATGGGATTCTACTAGAAACCCACTAAGATGCTGAGGGTCTGTGTGTTTAGTCCATTTCCTGAAAATATTACCAGTGAACCCCACAGTGTAGCGGGTGCACTTACAGGGGCACCCACATGTTTGAACTAGAGACTGACTGTGGTTGAGTAGACTCCTCTCAGCTCCAAGTCCTGCAGCCAGTCACTTACTGTGGGGATCATGCAGCCGCCTAGATAAACCCACCAGACTCACCGTCATGCTAAGCAGGATGTTAGGGAGCCCTGCTCCTGAGCTAGCCACACCAAAGTCACGTGGTCATGTGACCAGGGGTACCAGGATAGGGTGGGAATGGGGGGAGGGGCTCTCAAGCAGGTGACCCCCTTATGCTGTGCCGGCCACTCTCCTTTTCTTGACATCATTCCGGTAACTTAGAAAAAAAAACGAAGGGATGGCTTGGGAGAGAAGCAGGAAGCAGTTGCAAATTCACAGTAAAGCAAAATCTGATTAGAAAATTCAGCAGTGGGCCTGTGGGTTGCTGATGAGACGCTCTTCTGTGCTCTACTGAGCTGGGTGAGAAGGAGGGAGGAGGTCACGGACTCTGCTCAGGTGCTGGGAGGTCCCAGAGAGCTGTCTCGAGGTCATAGAAACCATGACTTCAAGCCATAGGCTCCTTGTTAGAGCCCCACGGTGTGCTGTCTTCTCCACACCAGGACCAGGGCTCACATTCCTAGAGCTGTGCTGTGACCCCAGCGAGCCCAGAAAGCCCCTCGCCACCAGGACACCTGCCTTTGCTGAAATGGAACCGTTAGCTCTGAATTAGCTTACTCAGCCAGGCCCACAGCTAATTTAGAGAGCTCATTACTTTCCTTCCCATCTTCTCTAGTTTTCAAACGGTGGTGAAGAAAGGCCTAATAGACTTTCACTTTGGTTCGGAAGAGTCTGAGGTAGCTAAGTTCATAACTCTCAGATGAGGGCCTTCAGATATACAGCCTCTGGTCCTAGAGGCCCCCATCTCCCAGCCACTCCTCACTGCCCTTGGCTGTGCTTTCTGCCCCAGGTCCTTTGTAATACCCTGCCTTCTGCCCAACCACTTTTTCTTGCTCTTTCCAAAGCTGCTTTTTGTTCCTAAGCTTCTTGTTCAGGTTCTACGTGCCCAGAGGGCAGAGCTGGCACACCTGAGGCCTAGCAGGCTGGAACAGTGGATGGGCAGGCAGGGGCTGAGGAAGTGTGGCCACATCCAATCTTAGTTTCCATCCCTCTTGGCCTTGGGGCCCCAAACCCCAGAGTATGAGGCCTCACAGTCTTTGCATCTGGCACAGGGTGGGGATGGGCCACCTCACCTTGGGCAGGGCATACTTGGGCAGCTTCATCAAGACGAAGTCACTGCGGCGATAGGAGACGTAGTATTTGGTTCGGTTTGTTGCTGTTGCCTAGGGGAGAAACACAGCATCAAGTGACTGAGTCTCCAGTCAGCCCCCACTCTCAATTTGAAAGCAGGCCGCTCAGCCAGTGGCCACTGTGGTTCCTCTTCTGCAATGATGACAAGACTTCACTAGGTGGCCCATCTGTGAAGGGAGGGGCGCTGCAGTCTGCTATGACCTGGACATGCAGAGGTGCTGGGGACTCGGAGAAAGCATCTCTGTGGTGGGAAAGCCTGACACCCTTCCCCCACACAGCAACTACCCACTGAGGTGCAGGGACAGCCCCTGGGACTGCTCCATGGGCTTCTCTGAGAGCACTATCCCATTCCAAAGAAACTGAGCTCTGAAAGCTGGGGTCACCATCAGCAGGCCCTGAGCCTTCTTAGAGCTGGAGTTTGAAGCTGAATGCTGCACTCCAGCTCCACACCAGACAGCTGCATACACAGAAACCTGTACACACTAGGACTCACTGAGACAGAAAACCTCCAACAGGTGAGGGATGCTATCTGAGCCTGTCAGAGGGTCCCAAAGAAGCTGGTGGGTCCATTCCCAGACAAGCTCAGGGCCAGAAGCAGAGCCAGGCTTCACTTCTTCTCATTCCCTGGGGAGGCCTATGGGGTGTGTTGGTGGAGAATTAGTGTACAAGGACATGGCCACCCCCATTCCTGCCAGAAACTGACTGTGACGGCAGCAGGGCCTTCCATGAGGCATAGTGGGAAAGGAGCCTCATCTCCAAGGTCCTTCCTACCTGCAGGTACCGGGACCAGGACAATGCACAGCGGTTTTGAAAGACTTCCCTTTGCCTGGGGCATGGATTAGGAGCATGCACAGCACACTGCACTGTCCTGAACAGTAAAACTGGGGTGTGTTAGTAACCCACACAGCCCCTTTCATGCCAGTCATTCCTCCCAGAGTGACCCCACACATTGTGGGGAGCCACTGACAGGCTGGAGTGACAGTGCCACCTGTGGGCCCCGCATGGCTGCTTGTCTATGTGAGTGCTGTGTTGTCGTCAGCCCATGACACGGAGCAGCAAGCAGAGGCTCAGATGTGTGGTGGCTCCCTTGAAGCATCTGACACCAGCATGATCTGACAAGAGGCCCTCCATAGCCACCCCGTCGTCTTCCATCACCTTCTCAAAGCACAGCTCCAGAATAGCAGAACCAACAGCAGCCCAGCCCAGACTCAGCTTTGTGAGGTAAATCCAGAAAGAGCTGCCATACCTAGGTGTGTCCTCCCATGGGCCCCACATCTATTCCTTATGGGGTAACCTTGCATTTACTCTACCCATACTGGTGAGGTTCTAGGTTAAGTCCCAAGCATGGCTTGGCAGAGAGGTTCTGGAGTCCTGCTGATTCCCAATTTAGCACCATTCTACCAGGACAGACCAAGATGTGACCATGGGACAAGAGACACGCGAGATGTCAGATGTCCCTGCTGGAAGGAGATGGTGTGTCACCTGGTCTGATGTGAGCCAGGCAGGGGGAGAAGCAGTGGAGCCCCACTTGACTACCTCAGGCCCAGCAGGAGAATGCCCAGAGAAGAGGGTGGACTGCTGCCTAGTCCTAAGTACGATGCTTGACAGGGCTGCTGTGTTTTCTGGGCTTTGGTTTTCTCTGCAGCAGCAGCAACCACCACAGAGCAGGAGTGGGAACCAGTAGCTACCAAAAGGAACCCATCGGTACAAAGGCGGAGCACAGAAGACTAGGTGGACGTGGACACTGGTGATACAGCTAGGACCAGTGTGGTCTGGGGCCTCCTGCCCGGCTGGGAGAGAACGGCCCATGCCGAGGGAGGAGTGTCATGGAGACTGGACAGGGGAGAAGCATGGGAACCTGGAGGACCCTCAGGTGACAGGGCACTGGGCTGCAGGTTTCTTGCAAGAAGCTCTGAGATTGTCTCACAGGTTCCAGAGGGCAGAGCAGGGACCAGCAGTGGGATCCAAGGAGATGGCCTGTCTCTGCAGATGAACTTGGATGGCCGACCATCAGTCTTTGTTGTCAGCTTAATGGGATTTAGAATCACCATGGAAACCAACTCCTGGGCTTGGCTATGAAAGGTTATCTGGGATGATTGAGGTGGGAAAACCACCCTAAATGTAGGCAGTGCCATTCTGTGGGCTGGAGTCAGGACTGAACAAACAGGAGATGGTGAGCTAGTACCAGCATTCACTCTCTGCTCTGTATGCAACTGAACAGCTGCCATGCACTCTGCAGCCATACCCTCCCTGTCATATGGACTGTCTCCCCGAAATTGTAAAGCACAAGCCTGTCATCAGGCACTTGGCTGCAGCATAAGAAAAGTAAATGAGACAACGAGGCTCTGCTCTGTACGAGGGCCAGGCAGACTAGCAGAGGCCAGTCTTCCTGCTCCCGAGGGGTCAAGAAGCTTTCCCACCAGCACTCACTAGCATTTTCCAATTGGCCTTAGACATGTATTGGGGAGTACTGCAGCAGTGTCTTGACCACAGGAGTGCAGAGCACCCAGGATACGACCAGAAGCATGTAAGGTACCAAATGAAATACGCATACTTGGATTTGTAGGGAGAGTCCCAGTGTGCAGAGGGAGGAGTCAGGAACAATCTTGAGTCAAGGTTCTGGTGCCTGGGGGCCACAGTACAGGCACAAAGACACTGAGTCCTGCTAAATGACATTTGGAAGTTGAAGTGCTGTTTTAATGCCTCTTCTGATAGGATAGACTCATGAACAGTCACCTCCCAGCACCTGGAACACTTACCTTCAGAAAGATGTACTCATCCTGCACAGTCAGGGAGCCACGGTCGATAGGGCCAGAGAAGGGTGCCATGTGGGGCTGAGTTGAGCAGTTGTGGATCAGGCAGGTGAAGTACCGACAGCCTGTAGGAGACAAGAGCAGCCAGACATGCAGATCCCATCGAGGGCAGTGGAGACTCAGAGCAGCGAGACCTCCTGAGCTCACTACTTTGTAACACCAGCACCTTGGCTTGGTCTGGAGCTTTACTTTTGTTTTTAAAAGACTTATTTATTTATTTATTTATTTATTATGTATACAGTGTTTGGTTTGCATGTATGCCTGCAGGCCAGAAGAGGGCACCAGATCTCACTACAGATGGTGATGAGCCACCATGTGGGTGCTGGGAATTGAACTCAGGACCTTTAGAAGAGCAGCCAGTGCTCTTAACCTCTGAGCCATGTCTCCATCCCTAGAGCTTTACTTTTCAAAGGGCCTCACTTCCTATGATGCCTGACAGCCCAGTGGGCCCAGGGACCACTCAAGATCTCTTTAGTGCCTAGGGAGGGTCGGCTGGCATGCCAGAGAGCTATTATCCACAGGAAGGGACAACCAGACAGTTCAGGAACCTCTCTAGGACCCACCCAGCCCAACCTCCACCTTCTCACAGATCTGGGCACATGACTGGGAAGACATAGGTGGCTCTAGGCACTCTTTCCCCTTAACTTGAAGTCAAAGCTCCCATCTGTCCTCACAAAGCTCCAGCAGGACAAACTGAATTGGGTTCTGCCAGGAAGCTGCTGTCTCCAACCTGAGAGGTGTTTGCAGGGCCAGGGGAAACAGTCACACTGAGGACATAACACTAGTGCAAGCCCTGGATCGATTGTCCACTCACTGCTCAGTTATTTTCTCACTCACTCGCTCACTCGCTCACATATTCATTCACTCATCCATCCATTCACTCACTCATCCACTCACTCATCCACTCACTCACTCATTCATTCACTCATCCATCCATTCACTCACTCATCCACTCACTCATCCACTCACTCACTCATTCATTCACTCATCCATCCATTCACTCACTCATCCACTCACTCATCCACTCACTCACTCATTCATTCACTCATCCATCCATTCACTCATTCATTCACTCATCCACTCACTCTCTCAATTCATTCACTCATCCATTCACTCACTCATTCATTCACTCGCTCACATATTCATTCACTCATCTATCCACTCACTCATCCATCCACTCACTCATCCATTCACTCACTCATCCATCCATTCACTCACTCATCCATTCACTTACTCATCCACTCACTCACTCATCCATTCACTTACTCATCCACTCACTCATCCATTCACTCACTCACTCACTCATCCACTCACTCGCTCACATATCCATTCACTCATCCATCCATTCACTCACTCATTCATTCACTCACTCATCCATTCACTCACTCATTCATTCACTCACTCATCCACTCACTCACTCACTCATCCATTCACTCACTCATTCATTCACTCACTCATCCACTCACTCATCCACTTGCTCGCTCACATATTCATTAACTCATCCATCCACTCACTCATCCATCCACTCACTCATCCATCCACTCACTCGCTCACTCACTCTCACTCTTCACTTACTCTCACCTTTCTCTTACTCATCCAGTAACTCATTCATTCATTCACTCATCCACTCCCTTTCTCTCTCTTCACTCACTCTTCACTCTCTCACTGTTTCACTCATTCATTCACTTATTCATTTATTCACTCATTCTCACTATCACTCACACACTCTTCATGAGGAAACTGCCTGGAGGAAGGTCCTAAGCAGTGAGTGAGTGTCGTGGGAGACTGGCTCGTGGAAGTGAGAACTGTTGCTCTGGAGAGAGGCAGATAAACCGACGAGGCCACTGCAGTGTGGTGAGGGCAGTGAGCATCTTTCTGTCCGTCACAAAGGCAGAATGCCCACAGGGGTGTGCTCAGGTATCTGGCTTCATTTAACAGTTCTGCTGGAGACACTGAGGAGAGCCAGTGAGCACTCAGCCTCAAAGAGCTCTCAGGCCAGGGGAATACAGAGGGAAGCTGGGTGTTAGGGGTTAGAGTCCTGAGGAGTGACTGGTGGAAAGGTGGCCTGTGCAGGTGATGGGGAAAACCCCATGATGGGTAAAGGGGGGCAGGCAGTCCCAGCCAGCTAACAGGAGTATGGTGATCTTGGAGCAGGGTCCTCTGGAAGGCCTGACTGACAGGAGGATAATGGAGAATGGGCTAGGAGGTGGAGCCTTAGGACTTTGAATGGTCTGTGGCCAGGCTCTGAAGACTGTTCCAACAGGGCTCTAGGCAGGGGGTAGGGGAGTGTGAGGTCTTCATGAGCTGGGGAGGGTCTCATGAGCCAAGTTGATCCAGGGGCTCTTGATGCAGAGTTCAGGCTGCTGCACACAGACTCTGTTTCCTCTAGGATGGAGGCTATGTGAAGGACCTGAACAGCCCTGATCTAGACCTCAGCTCATCTTTTCCTCCAGCCAGATCTGCTGCCACATGGAACCTTCTGGGAGTCACCTCTGTATATTCTCTATGAGGTATGCATCCTAAGACCTGGAAACCCAATGGCCCCTGCTTACCAAAACAGTAGCTGCAGTAACATTTTGTCCCACCCTTTGAGGTATGGAGCCCTGGAAGACTTGGAAATGGCACATGTCATCATCTGGCAGAAGCTGCCTGCACAGGAACTAACCTGTGTGGACCCAATGTTTCCCTCTACACATACACCAGCCATTCTGTTACCCTGTCTTGCTTTACAGGTAGGGGGACCACATTTACCTGCTCAGGACCCCCAGGACTCCACCTGGCTGGTGCCTGTGAACTGCACAGGACTGCAGGGAAGGACAATGACCTCTGTCACCTCCACAACACAAGAGACTAACGTGCACGTGCAAGTGAGTGGATTGCTCAGTGTGAAGCCTGCAAGCAGCAGGAAGTTTTTCGCTGGGGGAACCCAGCCCTGTCTGTGGGAGGGGAGCTACAGAGACACTGGGCCATCTCGGCCCTCAGCCAGGCTGGGTGGGGCCACTCAGTAGGACACACCCAATGCTCAGGAGCAGAAACAAATTGCCCTTTTAATAGACTTTCCGCAGAGCAGGACTCCTTCCTCTACTCCAATTCATCCCCGGCGGGAAAGAAGCACGCTTCTAATTATGACACATCAGAAAACAGTGAGGTTGGTGCACGGGGCTGGCCACTGAGGATGTACCAGTGAACAGGGCTGGGCAGAGCAGCACCACTGGACAAGGGTGCTCAGGGACACCTGTGAGTGCCCACCTCTCACTTACCTCCACTGAGGTCCTGTGCTTCCATGTGGACCAGGTTGGGGTCGGCGTCCACCCCAGACACAGCCCTGGAAAAGAATTGGCTGAGGGTAGCATCAGCAAAGGGGTGGCTAAACCCTTCCCGTGGGCTTCCACTGGCCACATGGCCTCTCTGGGTCTGAGAAAGCTCCTGTTTTGTGGGTTCAGAAGACACAAGCCTCCCCACTAAACCTACAAGCGCCAACAGGAGTCTGGATGAAGCTGGATAAAGCTTGGTGAAGCTGGCCCCTGCTTGTTCATAGGACTGTTTATAAGATTCCCCTCTTCCCCTGGGTTTCTCACCCCAGCTGAGGCACAGGCTGGGACTTCTGGCCCAGATCTGCACATAGGAGAAACCCAGAGGTACATAGAGACATGCCCATGGTTACACAGCCCTAACAGGTTCACTGGGATTCCAACTAGGATCCGGATCTGAGTGGCTGCCCTCTTCTTTACCTGATGGCCAACTGGTCAAGTTGCCCATCACAGGGGATGCTGGGAAAAACCCCTTCCACGTTTGTCCCAATCCCTCTGTGTTGGCAGAGGCTCTGTGAGAACAGTGTTCTTCCATATCACCCTTGCCAACCTACACCAGAGTCCCCTAAGCCGTGGATGAGTCTTGCATCTTACAGGCCAGGGATTTTGTGACTTGCCCAAGGACACAGGTGCTGGCCAGGGTGGCCTGAACTTCCCATCAGGTCTGCCTGACCCAGAAGTCATCCTCCTCTCAGAGCCTGTATGCCCCTGCTCCTAAGGTCCATGTCCTAGGACACTATTGAAAAGCCGTGTCAAGCCCGAGGAAGGCAGTCACGGGACATCCAGAGAAGTCCCACAGCACCTCCAGGAGCCAGTGGAACCCACTCTGCCAGCATCTTCCCAGGATTTGGGGAACAGAGGTCAGTAAGTACTTAGGGATCAGGAAGCTCAGGCTGGGACCTGTCCCAGTCAGTACATCCCTTCTTCCAAACCTCCAGATATGCTCATTTATATAGGAGAGCCAGAGAAAAGAAATAAAGAGGAGGGGAGGGGGAGAGGGGAGGGGGAGGGGAAACATGCACATGGGCGGGAAGTTCTCCTCCTGGTGCAGAGGGATAGGAACCCATGTAGTAGCTACATACACTGGCAGATCCTTGGAGCAGGGGACATTCTAGGTGCTCTGGGAGCCATTTAAATACACATTCACACCCTTACACACATAGCCATTCATTTACCTCATTCACCCATTCATTTACTCACTCATTCATTTACTTACTCGTGTACTAATGCACTCATTCATTCATTTGCTCCTTCATAGCAAGGCATTGGCCAGTGTCTGCTTTTGTGGTTTTTTTACTCCAAGGCTGTTGACCACTGAGGGAGGCAGCAGCCCCTTAACAGACACCCTGCTGCACATCCCTCCCTCCGTGTCTCCCTGAGGAGCCAGTGTGCTGTACAGCTTCAACACGGCTAATGAGTCAGGCCTGAGATAGAGCAGAGGTTCTGGTGCGTTCTGCTGCCAATCCAAGGACAAGGCTGTCAAAACAGCTTTATATGTTTCATACAACAGAGGCCGTCCCTTGTCTGTCACCACATTCCAGAAGGGATCCAACCAGCTGCACTGCCAAGCATCCCATGACTCTCACACATAACAGGCACAGCCCTCAGTCACAGGAGAAGTTTGTGCACAGAGCCAGTCTGACTTGTCCAAGATAGTGGTAGAATCCCAGGGCTGGTTTCTCTAGCCGGAGAGTCTCTATGAGCCAAGCTGGGATACTCCTTAGCCTGGCTTGGGGGCAAGTGGCCATGTACAGTCTCCCTGAGGTCTTAATGTCCATGGAGCTCAGAAATCACACTTCCTGGCCTTAGTCCCCACCTCCTGGGAGTGACTCCATGGGTAGTTTCTATTCCTGATAGAGGACATCATTGTTGGGTCTGTGACTGACAGCAGCCCTCTGGTTTCAGAGAGGGTACTCTGGTGGGCTGCTGTACAGGGACAATCATTACTTCTTTCCAGGAGCAGAGGACACAGATGCCAGGATTTGGTGTTCAGAATCAACTGAATACATAGGAACTGGATCCTTGTGAGGACAGCATGGAGTCACAAGGGGGGGCTGTTTTCACCGTGCATCCTCTTTAGAGACAGGACTGTGTCCTGGCTGGGGGACCAGTGCGAAGTTTTATGTCCATTTGTACTAAGACAGGAAGGATATGAAAGTACATGTATGTGTATGCCTGTGTGTATGCAAGAGAAAACCTGTGCAGGTAGGTGCACATCTGGAAAGGGAACCATGGTCACAGGCGAAGTTTTATATCCATTTGCACTAAGACAGGAAGGATATGAAAGTACATGTATGTGTGTGCATGTGTGTATGCAAGAGAAAGCCTGTGCAGGTAGGTGCACGTCTAGGAAGGGAACCATGGTCACAGGCGAAGTTTTATGTCCATTTGCACTAAGACAGGAAGGATATGAAAGTACATGTATGTATGTGCATGTGTGTATGCAAGAGAAAGCCTGTGCAGGTAGGTGCACGTCTAGGAAGGGAACCATGGTCACAGCCGGCCGGGTACAGTGTGGGCTCTGATCCAGCTGCCTCAGTTTCCTGTCCTCTCTTTACTGCCTGCCTTCTGAGGTCTTGCTTGGACAGACAGCATATGCTTTCTGAACTTCAGCGCTACCTGACTTGGGTGGTGGGGCTGGAAGCTGCCCAAGTCCCTGAAAGGGCTCCCAGAAAGTCATGAAGATGCGGAGCCAGCACCCCATGGTCTTTGTGTGGACCTGAGTCCCATTCCACCTTCATTCACCATCTCTCCTGCTTCAGCCCTCAGAGGCTGCGGGCACCCTGGGTCTTTGGTTTCCTAGCAGGACTGAACACTGTGATCTCATGGGCCAGAGGAGTGAGTCCCAGGGTACTGGTGGGCAGGAAAGTGAGCCTAGGCAGACAGGGTCTGGGCAGCCCTGGAGCATGGTAGGTTGACACAGGGACTCACTCAGGAGCAGGTGGGGCTGAATTGGTGAGTTGGGAGGAGGGTAGCCAAGAGTGTTGAGCCACCCTGAGATGTTTTACCTCATCCAAATAGCTGGATATAGAGGACAAGGTAGGGTCTAAACATCCCAAAGCCACCGGGGGACAAGGCGTGAGGGATACTGAGCCCTGAACACCCCCAGGAGCACAAAGAGGACCCTAGAGTTCCCCTGGGGTGAGGAGGAGGCAAAGCCTGCGATAAAGTCTCCCATGTAAGGGGCTCTCACCAGAACACGTGGTCCTTGGTCACCCGTTCCTGTAGAAGGGTCCACTTCTTCCCCAGGTCAGAAGACACGTACAGCTGCAGAGCAGACAAAAGACAGAGCTTTGGCAGGGAGGTCTGAGTGACGGTGATCTGCTACAAGGCTCCCCAAGGGATGTCACTCTTATTCTGCGGGCACACTGGTGCTGCAGGCCAACCAGCAAGGGCTGAAGCCACAGAGAGGGCTCCACACAGAGGTCGTCTCACTGAGGCTGGCTGGCAGGTGAGTTCTTGGGCTGGACACACAACAAACACCTGAAGCTTCCCCAGGGTGGGTTTCCTCTCCCTTTCCAGCCTGAGGTGGCCTATGCAGTTTGGCAGATTCATGGGGGACCCTGCCTCTTCTTTTCCTCTTCCAGCTCTTCTCAGGACTTCCCTGATCCCAACTCCCTCTGTGGGACACTTCTGCATGGGCCCTGGGGACCTCATGGACAAGGAGTGCTGCTGTATGCAGGCAGCTGAGGAAAAGGCTTTTCATTGAGGGTGACAGAGCACAGTCACTGTGGGCTGTGACTTCATCTCTCAGGCTGGGTCAGGGAGAAGTTTTGAGTGCAGTGGCCTTGGCTTCTTGCTGGCCAGGTCCTCTGACTTTCATGATGGGCAGTGGGAAGGACGTGTAGAGACAGACTGGCTTCCTCTCTCCAAACAGTCAGTCTTACTCACAGCTGGCCAGTCTCAGTGTCCAGCTGCAGACAGATAACTCAGGCATGCATTTGCTACATGACAGACTCAGTGAACCCTAACACACATCTCCCTCATTCTCCTATGTCCCTGAAATCCCATGTCTTCCTTGAATGGTTTTTGTGCCAACCCTTCCCATACTGAGGGAGTAGGAATGGATGTGGCCAATCTGTTACCACATTCCTCAAGACACTTTTCACTTGTATTATTCCATGGGTTTCATAGGTGTCTCCTCCATCCCTGGGTTACTGTGACAACTGTGCTCTTCCTCTGTTCCTGGAGACATGTGGTCCCACCTGATTCTGCACACTGAAGTCCGTCTTTATCTGAACTAGGTTTAGAACTGTGTGGTACTGTCTGTGGCTCTGCCTCTGCTCTCTGTGCCTGTATGGCACTTGGTTTCCTCAGACACCAAGCATCATCCTTGGCAGTGACACTCTGAAGGGGGAGCCTATGATTCCAGCAGCCCTGGTTTCTGGCAGAGCCCTTCATTCACAGCTGCGGGACCGTGCCTTTGCTCTGGGCTCTTTCAAGCTTCAGTTTCCCTCTTTAAAAACAAGGATACCACATTCCTGTCTTAAAGGGGGGGGTGGGACATCTCAATCACCTCACAAAGTGGCAGCATCTGGGCACGTGCAGTGGGTGCCCCTCAGCTTCCAACAGTGAGTGCACTGGGAATCGGCCCTGGGTTTGGAGCCCCCAGCTTCAGGATCACTTCCTTCCGCTCCATTTCCCATCTCCATGTACTCTTGGCTGCCTGGGGCACTCATCCGCCTGGCTCACCTTCAGTAACACCACTGAAAGGATCCTTGTCTGCCAGGTACTCCAGTGAGCTTTCTGAATGAGTGAGCACATTTGGCCGTGGGGCAAGGGCTAGCTAGAAAGGGCAGGAGATGAAGTATTTCTGGCTTGGTGGCCTGAGTGGTCTCTATGGGAACACTCACCTCTGCCTTCTGAGCAGAAGCTGAGAGTGCAGGCTAGACACATAACCCCGGCTGGATGCCACGAAGCTTAACAGGTGGCTGGACACCTGTTCTGGATCACATGCTAAGAAAGCATTACCTTCCATTTGTAAAGGGCTTTAAAGGGGGAAGTTTTCCTCCCTAGGATGACTGCAGGCCATACAAGGTACTCCTGTGCCCTGTGAAGCCCCTGGACCTGGGCATGGCATGACCTAAGACTCAACAACTACCAAGGCACATGGCTCACTGTGGCTGTGATCTACATCAAACACTATCTCACAGAAAGCCCTCACAGACACACACACTCAAGTTCACATGACACACACACACGCATGTCCACATAGACACACCCACACTCATGCCCATACAGACACACACACACACACACACTCATGCCCATACAGACACACACTCACCAATACAATAATCAGATGAAGTTTTTCTGTCTTTACAAGATGAGAACATTAAGACTGAGAGAGCTAAGTACATCCATCAATGTATCACAGCATTTACACACAGCAGCGATTCCCATCTCATAGACCCGAGTTCACAGTACTATGTCAGTGATGAAGCAGTGTCCCTAGGTCCCTAGGAACGATGGGTGGCCATCCCTGGCCCTCTTTCTGGGTCATCCGAATGACTGGGGCCAGCCCCTTTCCATCTCATGACTCAGTTTATCCATCTGCAAATGGGTAGAACATTGCTCACACCCACAGCTAGTCAGTCAAGAAGACAAGCATTTAAGGGCTCGGTGATAAAGTTTCCACACAAGTGAATGGCATTATCATTGCTGTCACCATCAAATGTGCTTATGTTTATGATGCCCATCCCAGAGCTTTATGGAGCCTTTCCAGTTCATTCTCATGGGGGGCAGTAATTTTACTATCTGCCATCAATTGCTGCAGAAATAGAACACTTCTGCTTAATAAAAGATAAATGTTGAAAATAAACAATAACAAATATCAGAGGGATGCCCTAGATCCTGTAGCTAAAATCTACATAGAGGTATCCTGTAGCAGGACGGTGGATCAGCTCCAGGGTTATATCTCAGGAGAGTGTTGGAATGTGCTTCAGGGAATTGCTGACTTGAGAAGGCAAGAAGATGACATCAACGGAAGGTGCACCCTAGGAGTGTACATCAGTGACCTTTATATGAGGCCAGAGGGACAGCAGCTCTGCCCTGGACTGTGATGGCATCACTATTAAAGATCCTCAGTTTTCATCTTCCCTTACTCAGAATGCTGTATTATTTTTCATAGGTGGGGATGCTAATGCCTAACATTGCTCTGACTCTCTTGCAGCTAGATTGCTGGGTCAGAGGTGGAATAAATTCACAGGGTTAGGAAAGCCAAAGCAAAATGAGGCATTTTCCTTCCTTCCTTTGGGTACTTCTGGTATCCAGCATGTCCCAGAGGGTATGCTCAACTCTGGGGTGCAGAGGCAAATGTCCACTCTTCTTTTATATAGCTGTTGGGGATCTGAACTCAGGTCTTCATGCTTGTGAAGAAACCACTTTGCAGACTGAGTCATTTTCCAAGACCCAGAGGTGGTTCTTGACTGGAAGAAAAAAATAGTAAGGAAAAGCAAAGCAAAACAAACTATGTGAATCTGACCTTGTCTTACAAGTAAGTAACCCTAGCTCTGCCAGCAAGCAGGCCCACAGCTCAAGCCCAAGAAGATGAGGCTGTGGGTGATGAGACAGTAGACCCCAGAGAGCAGGGTAGGAAGGACCTCCTGATCCCAGGAGCCTTGGCAGCTTGCTAAGACTTGGAAGGAATATATATATTGGATGTAACTCAGGAAGCTTGGCCAGACTGCAGTAAGGTACCTCAGATTGTGTCCCAATTAATGAGACAGTGAGGAAGGAACAGAGGGAGGCAAGATACCCCAAGTGAGGTAGAGCCTTTTTCAGAGCAAGGGCAGATACCTGGGAAGAGGCAGGAGGTAGGACAAGAGAAGGAGGAGAGGTGAGGGAAAAATCAGGCAGTGAAGAACTTAATTCTGTTCATATGGTATTTGTGTCTACCCTCGGGGCTTAGTGTATGACTCTGTCTGGTAAAACTGAAGTTGGTAAAGTTTCTGTGTTTTGTTCTACCCATATAGAACAGCATGATCCCCAGATGAGAGCCACATGGAAGCCTGCATCCTAGTAGCCAGGAACCACATCCAGAGGATTCCAGCAAAAGCCTGCAGAGTTCCAGCTACCTGAAGACCCAGGGCCAATTCCCAGTGTACTGCTCTGAGCCAGGGAGCTTTGCAATGTCCTCCTCTCAGCATGGTGTCCAGATGCCTGGCTAACAACAGGTTTGTAGAGTCAGAGCTGGCATGATTCCACTACACACCCAGTTTCTTGGGCACCCAAAAGCATTGACAGACCACCAAGCTCCCCCCCAACTCAAGATGGTCATCGCTGACTAATTTCCCCAAATCCCTCATTCCTTTTATAACAGCAATTAAACCTTTTTCCTCTCCTTTCTTTCCATGTCATCACAGAAAAGAGCCAAGGAGAATAACCAAGGTTTCAGCTCCATTAATTTTTCAGGGCGCCATAAATTAAAGAGCAATTGCAACACAGTCAATTTCTTCAGGAAAATAACTCGCTGTAGCTGTGCTTTGGTCTAATTACATGGAAGGCTAAGTAGCACTATTAATACCCAGAAGGGTGTGCAGCCCTGAGGGAAAGGGATAGGAACAGACAGGCAGCCACAGGCTAGGGACACTAGATAATATATGCTAGACCTTGCCAAGGAGGCTGGGATCTGGAGGAAAGCTGGGCTTGACCATCACCACTCTCCATTAGGGCTTTCTTACCTGACTGATTCATGTTTGTAGGGATTGGCATTGATTCATATGTTTATTCACCTAACCAGCTGCTCTCCATCCATCCATCCATCTATCCATTTATCCATCCATCTACCCAACCTACCCACCCACCCACCTATCCACCCATCCATCCATCCATTACCTATCCACCCATAATCTATCAAATCATCCATCCACCTTTCAATCCATCCATCCATCCACTCATCCATTCATCCATCCATCCATCTATCCATCCATTTCCTATGTCCATTTATAATCTATCCAACCAGCATATATTTTCAGAAAACACGAGATTAAAACTGTGAGCTATAAATCCAGCACGGCTACCTTCCCAGAACTCAGCCTTAGTGTGAGGGGGCTGGAGACTGTGATAAAATACTAGAAGAAACACAAAACTACATACTAGCACCACGGAAGAGGCATGGGACCCTGGAAGAACATGGAAGGTGGGCCCATGCTGTTGCCCTTCAGTTACATACATTCATTCTTCTAATCAGCTTCCATCCATCCATCCATCCATCCATCCATCCATCCATCCATCCATCTATGGATCCATGCTGGCCCTACCACCTGTCCCTGTCCCAGGGGCTGATGAAGAGCAGTTTCCACTGGCTGCTGTTCTGGCCTCTGGTTGGGTAGAGGCAAAAGGAACAGGAGCAGAGACTGGCTGGCAGGAGGGGAGGGGCTGTGATTTTTCTTCCTGCTCCTGTCCCTGATAATCATGGCGTGGCAGGCACGATATAGCTGTCACCAGGGCCAGGGTCCCTTCCTGGGGCCTTTGCTCTGCCTGCTGTGTGCTACAGTGGCAGGCTATCCTTCCACTCCAAGACAGGTATAGTCTGATCCTTAGAACTAGTGGCCATGGCCTCATACGGCCCCAAACAGCTTTACAGAGGTGCGGTTTAGGATATGGGAATTATCTGGTGGACCTGGGGTGGAGTTGTCTCTGTCTTTGTGAAAGACAGGAGCTGTGGGAGGGTTTAGATATGTAGTCATGGACATGGGTACACCAGCATGTCCATGTACACATGCAGGGGGCATTCTAAAAATGGGCAGAGACTTAACCAGGCTGGCCTGGAAGATACAGTAATGCAGCCTTAACCCAAAGCACACGGTGACCACCAGGACTGAGAAAGGGGAGCAGCTGTCTCTAGAGTCTCAGGGACACTCAACTTCAGCCCAGAGATACTAATTTTACAATTCTGGCCTCTGGGTCTGTGACAAAACACATTTCTGTCATTTACGCTCCCAAATCTGTGGTCCTGGCCACCATACCTACAGGAAACCATCCAGTGCCCCTCCACCTGAGCTAGCCTAAGGCAGAGGAGGAGAGGCAGAGGAGGCCTGGCATTAACTAGGATCTCCTGACCCAGCTTACAGGCCTCTGTATGCCAAGGGCTGCTCGCTGCCACCTTACTTATTGTAACACATGCCATTGGTGTGAGACTCCCCATGCTGATAGACAGTCACATGTTTGTGTCAACAAGGGCAATGCTGAGGTTTGTGCCTCCCAGCTCAAGCAAGGCCCTACCTCCCCTGACAGGAAAGCTCTCAGGAAAGCTGCTTCTGTCCTGATGTCTGTCTCATTGGGTCCTGTGGCCTCACATCCCATGTCCTCTTACCTTGCTGTCTTTGGTGTAGGCAAGAACCTTGTCCTCCTCCTTCGGGTGGAAGAGGAGGGTCTCCACGAGGAAGGGGACAGGATACTTCTGGAAGGTGGTACCCTCATCGGTGCTGAGGAAGAGGCTCTGTTCCCGGTCACCAAGGGACGAGCTCACCAGGATGATCTGAAACACAGAATGTGAGGTTGAAATTGGGGTTGCTGCTGAGAGAGGTGTTCTCCCTCACTGCCCCCCTCTTTCATGGAGGCCCCCAGCAGGCACTGTGGCATAGCTGAGGCTTGGCCTGGAATTCCAAAGTTCAAGGTTTCTACAATACAGGGGAGTAAGCTCCGGGGAGAGCTGAGACGGGTGTGGGTGTGTGGGAAGAGGTGACGGGAGTGGAGGCGTCTTCCTGAAGAAGAGAATGACAAGTTAGATGGGTGTTAGCCTAGAACTCCAGGGGAGGATGAGGGGCTAATGGGGAGGGAGGGCTACTGCAAGGTCACTGCAGCCAGATGACTAGTGTCCTCTGAAAAGATGGACCCATACACCAAGTCTCTGGGAGAGTGAGTGATGAGCTCACATCCTGCTCTAAGACCTTCCATGCTGTGTAAATAGTGGGTTTGGGGCTCTTCCTCGCCTGCAAAGAGTCCATTTTACCAGCAGCATTTGGCTTTCAGCACAAACGTAGGGGACAGGATGACTACCTTGATGGGCATGTAAACAAGACCACCTGCCCAGCAAAATGACTTATTCCTAAAAGCAGACAGGGCTTCCCTCTTGGGGTTTATCAAAGTAAACTGGCCCCTCTGAGTAAATGGATGTATTATATCACACCAAGAAAAACAGGCCAGGAATTATCAGATACGGGAGACTGAAGAAAGGATGCAACCCCTTTACCTGGACTCCATAAAGAAGAGGCCACCTGACACCATGATGGTGGACTATCATCTGACTCATGTGCGCACCAAGGAGCGTGACGCAGAGAATTCCCAACTGCCTTGAAGGCTCCAACCTAACTTGGTCCCAGGGTTAACATGGCCTACTCTGACTGCTGCCCCGCCTCCCTGCCCACCTGCTTGCCCATATGACCTGACATTCATCCATCCATCTGCTCATCCCTCTGGGCCTGGTCCTGCCCTCCATCTTACAGTCTCCACTGTTCTGCACCTCCTTCCTGAATGATGACTGACCCTGAAGCTCAGCTCAGCTCTGAGCCTGTGGCTTACTTGGAAGCACAGCCTCCAGCAGGCTTCAACATCTTGTTCCCGCAGGGACTTTCTTCCCGTCCCCATCGGCTTTCTGCCTGCCTTCAGCTAGGTCTCTCTCACTCCTTGACCTCGGCTGTGGCCTCTTCAGTATCCACGCTGTACCCTACTGTTTTAGTGGGGTTTCTATTGCTGTGATAAACACTGCAACCAAAAGCAACTTGGAGAGCAAAGGGTTTGTTTCAGCTCACAACTCTCAGATGGCACACCCTCCATCAAAGGAGGTCAGAACAGGAACTCGAAAAAGGCAGGAACCCAGAGGCAGGAACTGGAGAGGGCATGGAGGAGTGCTGCCCACCGGCTTCCTTACAGTGCCCAGGACCACTTGGACAGAGCAGGTGCCACCCACAGTGAACTGAGCTCTCTCACATCAACCACTAGTGAAGAAAATTTCCCACAGGCTAATCTGGTGTTGGCATTTTTTTCAGTTGAGGTTCTCTCTTCGAAACATGACAAAAACAAATGAGAACATCTACCTATAGAGATAGGTAAACAGACATATAGATAAAAGCATGTGCACACACACATACATCTTCTGTGTGCCATGCAACTGTATTCCAAGAGTTAATATTGGTAATTAAGATCGGAATAAAGAACCGGTATTCACCTTGGCCAGCTATCAAGGAAATCGGACTAGGTAATTGCAGCCAACAGATTGAGGTGGCCTGTGAATTGAATACTAGTCAGTACATTCCGACATTGTGAAAGACAGAAACATGTCCACCCATCTCCCTGATGTAGCACACTCACAACAAGGTCCTCTCTTGGGAGCATGGTCACTGGTGACAAGTGCAGGGTCAAGAGGAGGCCATCCTGGGACTTAGGGTCACCAACAGTGTCCTCAGAGATGGTGACACGGGATACTGTACACACGGTATTAGAAGAAGCAGGGAACAACGGTCCCCTGGGCCTCCTGGAGTGGAATCCAGCACACCCTCCCTTGGATGCCCAGCCTCCACCCTGAGAGATAGTCCATACCCAGCCCCGTCACACAGGAGTTCTGCTCAGGGTGATTGTAGGGGGAGGTACCTGACTTATGTTTCCACAGCATGAATTTGGTTCTGCTGGAGGCAGATCCCCAAGAGGCTCACAGGCAGGGGCCATTGGGGAGACTCTGGAAGCTTGGTATTGTGGGAATGCCTCAGTCCTTTGATGTGCACACCATACACTTCTTTGGAGACCCACAGGCTGGATGAGCACCGCAGGTCCTTGGTAGCTCTGAAATCATCTGATGAAGCCCCGTGGCTGGGGTGGTCTGTGGTTCCACACTGTGCTCTGCCTCATCAAAGCCTTCCAAGGAGAACTCTCCACAGTACCCAGCTTAGTGCTATCCAGGAGAACTCTCCACAGTACCCAGCTTAGTGCTATCCAGGAGAACTCTCCACAGTACCCAGCTTAGTGCTATCCAGGAGAACTCTCCACAGTACCCAGCTTAGTGCTATCCAGGAGAACTCTCCACAGTACCCAGCTTAGTGCTATCCAGGACCCTCGGGGAACCTTGCTGTGAGGCCTGCCTGTGTACTGGGAGGTCACCTGACCCACCATCTTTTAAACTTCTTTTATGCTGCTGAGTCCCCATGGTTGCCCTCTCCTTTGGGCTGTTTGGGACTCCCCTCTACTTCATGGAATAGTCAAGAAAGGTAGCTGAGACCCTGCTGTCACACTCTGGGTCACAGTAGGGTTTCAGAGTTGGAAGGGGGAGTTGGAGAGCTCCTTAGGGTCACAGGGCCTGGGTAAGCTGAGAACGTGACCCTACCACACAGCATCCAGGCAGTGGTGCCGGAGTTACTAGCTCTGCAATCCCTGAAACACAGCAGTGATAGCAGAGTGAGCACTGGCTCCCTGCCATGAACTCTCCAACTCCAGTCCACTGTCTACCCCGAGACCACTGGCATCAGTGAAGTTCCCAGAAACTCCGGTTCTCCATAGTCCCAGGAAACAGTCCACCCTCACAGGCAGTGCCATAGGCTCTTCTGTGTCTGTCCTCCCTGCCTTCCATTTGGGCTGCGACCTCTGGTGTAGTAATGGCTGGCATGCAGTCACTCTCCTTCTCCTGCCAGCAGACTCAAGTCCTCAGGTGAGCATCCCTCACTCTGGGCCAGCTACACTCCCATGGTGCAACTATGTTACATTATAGAAGTCTATTACCACCCCTACTTGCTAGGTGTGGAAACCTAGGCACAGAGAAGGGAAAGAGATACCAAGTTCACATGGTTCACCATCCGAGCAGGGGCAGGGTTTAAGCAACTGACATACTCTGAGGGGCACTGTGGTGGGAGAGACCCTCTGCTGAGCCTGGAGTTGGGGCAGGGCTGGCTGGGAACCAGCATAGCTGAGGAACACACAGCTTCCAGGAGGGCATGGGGCACCGAGACCAGCCTCTGTCTGGAGGCTGCTGTGATGGCCTTTCAGAGGTCAAGCTTATCTGGAGAAGACAATGAGGGGCCCATGAGGAGCGGTGGGCTGCACAGAACGCTTGCCCTGCTCCAAGTGAGCCGATGATAATCCCATCGTGCTTTCTTTCCAAGGAATCCTAATGAGCTCCCTGGGAACATTAATTAGTCTCCTCCAGCATAAAGCCCACTATCTCTGTTCAGGAAGGCCTGGGAAAGACTCTCCGCAACACAGACAAAGAGACGAGCCTGTGGGTTGTGAGGAGCGGGGCATTAAAGACGGATACTGTGTGGGAACACAGGGTGATGGATTCCGTTCCCTGTGTCACAGTGACTGAGTTATAGGAAGCATGTGGCACTCTGCAACATGATGTGCCAGTAAGCAGGAATGAGTGACAGTAGGGTACACCCGGGGCCGTGGAGGAAAGCCAGAGCAGAGGTCAGTTTTAAGCAGAAAGTTAGGAGTCCAGATTTTACTTAAATAAACTTATTTGTAGTGGTTCCAGGCAGAAGATGTGCCAATGAGGGCACCGGTGTCGGCCAATTAGCATTATCCGAATACCACACTGGGCTCAGATGTCACTGGCTTTCTGGTTCTGTACCAGGACCTCATAGCCGGCACCATGTGATTAGTTGGTTAGGTCTTCTTGGATCCTGTTGGGATGTTTTAACTTCCCCAGCTTTTATCGTGTGGCAGTGGAGAGGCATGCAGATCCGTTCCTGCAGGGGTCCCTCCAGGGAGCCTCGGGTAGTCTTTCCCACATTTGCCTGTGATCTTCCAGCAAACACCGCTACAGTGTTTGCTGGAAGATCGTCATGGTGCCTGTGCCCTGCTGGCAGGTGGCATTTGTCAGGCCCCTTTGCTGTGGCTTGCTCGTCTGCCCTCTATGGAGTGTGGGATGGCACCCTGCCTCCCTGAGGGTGAAGCAGCTATGGAGTGACTGGGATTCTGCACTAGAACTGGCCTCGCCTCCCCTGCTATTTACTTAATCATGCAGTTATATCACCGGGGGCTCATGAATATTTATTTTATATTTTGCATTGTAATTGATAAACTGTTTTGCTCAAAGCATCCAGCTGTAGCTCTCGGGAACTTTCAGCTCCTCCCTGTGTCCCTTGGGTGCATCCTTTGTCCTTCCTTAGATAATCCAAGCTATGTGTAGGCACCTGGACAAGAAGAAAAATGGCACAAGCCACCCAGACACCCTGCGTTTGGCTCACCAAACGCTCAGTGCCACTGCTTGCTGTGGGCCTCCTGTTTGGACTGCACGCCCTTGAGTAACTCTTACTGTGTCCTCTGGCGGCCACCAGCACAGGTGTGGGTGGAGTTGGCGATTGGTCCATCCTGGGTGGAAAGGGCATGGAATGCGTGCATGAATGAGGGGATGGCCAGCCCCACCTCCACTTGGACTCCCATAGGATCCTGTGTTTATTTTTCTCTTTGGGAGACTATCCTCATGAATATTCAAGCAGGCTAGAGGCCAACAGCCAGAAAGTCTCATTCACTTCTTCCTCCTCTCTGCTC